AAAATATCTCGGTTCTTCATTGACCAAACAGTAAATCCTATTATCAAACCATTAATTTGCAGTTTTCATCCTGAGAAAGAGCAGAAATCTGTTATGGTCAGACATAAACAAGACTGTCATATTAACTGACAAAAAGTACATCTGTGTCTTTTACACATAAACATCTTAAATTTCATTGGAGCTTCTATGACAGCAGTCCAGTACAACTTGGCACAAGGGCCGGCCCCCAACGATCAACGAGCACCCTGGGAAACTTGATGACTGAAGACCCTGATCAGGTTGCATCTGCAGGCTGTGCATCTTCACTCTGCTTACACTCTCTCTCCCTGAAGAAGCTTCTTTGCTCATTGATGGCTTTCTGCAGCAGAGCTATGTTGACACCATCAACACAGTTCAGCACACGGGCACGGACCATGTGGCCAACCCCTGTAAGACGAGAAGATACTGATGTCAGCAGGCGATTGAGGTAGAAAGTCCTGAATGTATTTAAAAGAGCCCAGTGATGTGAATGAAATGTAAATGGTAAAAATACTAATTGACAGTATTTATTCAACACTTTTCCAGTCTTATCGACCACTCACAGCACTTTACAGTACAAGTTACAATCACCCAACATATGCAGCTAATAAAGGGACGGCAGAAACCAGCCCAGCAATGTGCATTCACACTGAATGGCTTTCTTTCTTTTTTTGTTTTGGAGAAGGTAGAATGTTGCGGCAGTTAAGGTAAAGTGGTCAGTGTGTAGCTACATGCACTTAGCCTACAGGAATGTTTGGATTTCATCTGTCTATTAAGCTTTCAAAGCACATGTTCTACGTCAAGCAGTCTGGCTTAAGGTGTGTGTACATTCTACCCAGGGTAACATACAGAGACAAACAATCTTCATACCTACATTCACACCTGCAGTCAACAGAGAACAGGCAAACTCCCCACAGAAAAGGCTCAGATCATAATCATAATGAAATAACATTTAATGTCATACAATTCAATATAATTCTTGTTTGTGGACCCAAGACAGAAAGTTGAAAGTTCTCATAAATGTTTCAAAAATTGCCACTAAAAACAGATTATAAAGTTTTTCTTACCCTCAGCATTTTCTGTTTCACCAATAACTATGTACTGGGCTCCAATTATTGGGTTAAAGGGCTCCACAAACAAAGTGTGGACGACCACATGGTGCTCTTTGGAAGCGTGCTGAGCTGACAGCGTAGCTCTGGACTCCTCAGGCTGATAGCAGACAAGTCTGGGAAATTGAACACATTTTACAAGGTAAACTGGACAGCAGGTGATATCATTTAAAGTTAGAGATGCATTCTGTATAAGCCAAACAAGGGGGAGAGAAATGTATACTATTTGTGAACGCACAATCGGAATAAGAAGTACTTCATTAATCCCCGTAGGGAAATTCAAATGTCACAGAGCTCCTGAGAAAGAGGTGAAAGAGCAAATGCAGCTATAAACATAGTAATATAAAAATCAAATAAGACTAAAATGAAATAAAAGATATACATATGTAGAAATAAAAACCAAGGGTGATTTTACTGCTTTTCTTCAGACGATAAGCAAAGGTAAAATAATAAGTAAATAAATATTGAAGGCAAAATAATAATAATTAACAATTAGACTAAAATAGTTTTAAGCTAGGGCAAGTATTCCTGGAATAGCTAGCAAGAGCTGGCGGTTTTCCAATTAAGGCCTACTTCAATTTTTCAACCCTCGATGGCGGAATTATTGAACACATATATTCACCAACCCCTCTAATGTGACGGCTAGCACTGCTTCTCTTTGGTGAGGTGCATCATGTCAGACTGCGTGATGATGTGAGCTGCTTCAGTGCATGTCTCCTCAGAATGAAAAAGTCCTCAGGGCATATATAGAGTAAGCAGAGGGAAGTTGTTGTTGTTGTACATAGCTAAACTTTTCCTTTATAGCTAAATAAATATGTGTATTAGCCTTTCAGGCATATTTGCTGATTACAACAAGTGTGTTTTTATTGTGTTTAAACACAAACAACAAGGTCTCTGTCAGAATGACAAATTGTGAAAGTTGCAGGTTAGACAGTCAACGGTCACATGACTGACTGAGCTCCAAATCCAGATTTACCTTCCATATATTGTCAGTAAAGTTGGTTTAAAAAACCTTGTGTAGGTGCAGTGTCCTTTTTTCCTAACTCCTTATGAATTCTCTTTCAAGTCAGTTTTACTAAATGATCTCATTTTTTTCTCGTATTAGACCAGGTGACAGAAAACCATTCTGTACTTAAACCTGATTAACAATGATATGCTTAAAACACACTCAGATCTGTGAATGTTATTCACAAATGATCTAAATTAGTTCACTGCTTTTTTAATTATTTGAGCCAGACCAGACCAGTTCTAAACAAAAAAAACAGATACCATTTTTAAACATGTCAACTATGGACAAGTTAATAGAGGCAGTTTCAGACTTGAGAAAACTGATATAAAGATCATTTACACATCTTCTTCTGCACCCTGCTAACAAACCGAAATAAACCCACTGTGCTTAGATCTGTCAAACTTGCTATCATCTCTTCAATCAGGTGTTGTATCCCTGGCAGGGATGGAGGATAAGCAAAAAATATCACTTCACTCAAATACAAAAAATGACACAGGATCATTACACTTGATCTGTTACAGTCACCAACAAAATAATTTAAAAAAAAATACCTGCCGAACGTCCTCACTGATTCTCCTTCCTGGACCGACCCGCTGTTTATTTCCCAGGGGAAATGAAACACTGCAGCAGCTGGAAGCATCGTCTTGATCTAAAACACTTCACAAATCAAAGGCTGGACATGAAATCTAAAGTCTGCTGCTTCCGGGATGCAGGTCACGTGCTCCGTCATTCTCCTCCTCCCATGCTGTCGTCTGCGCATGCGTGTCTGGGAGCAGGTCGTTGTGAGTTCTTCAGACAGCAACGCAACATCTGAAGGAAGACCCACACCAACATCTCCACTACACACACCCATCATACACACGATCCACACCGGACCTCAGCCTGAGACACAGCCATGAACCCCGATATCACGAAGGAGCGGAAAAACGCCACCTTTGACGTCGAGAAGCTGACCTACATTCTGGACGGTGCCCCAGAGAAGACGAGAAGAAGAAGGGAAATCGGTGAGTTTGAAACGTCCCCCCTGTTGAGAACAGTCGCTGCTCTCGACATATAATCTGATCGTGCCACTGGTTATTTGCTGAGATAATATCAGTTGTGCAGAAAGGTTAGCTAACACAACCGTGCTGTTAGCTATAGAGATGCTAACACCTCTCAACGCAGCTTTCTAGTTGTGTTTTAGATGGCATTTCCAAATCTGGTGATGTTATGGTGGTCTGGTATGCTCCAGTGTTAAATTCGGCGTTAGTATTTATTCGAACAAATTTCACTAATATCCCGTTACAGTAAGAATCCCCGCAGCACCTGGAACAGTTATTTTACCATGCGACTCTCATCTGTTATGTCACTGACAAAGAGCAATAAAAACAAATGCTTGTGACCTTTTCCCTAGTTATTTGTGATATTCATGTTTTACATAATGACGTGTTACTGTTTTTAAATCGTTGTTTGTCAGTTAACACCCTGAAGAGACTGATACTTTAATGCTATATCCATTTTTATTCTTCCCACAGATGTATCACCTTTACACACCTCTAATGACCTGACATTGTGATGCATGTTGACTCGATTGCATTACACAACTTTTTCATTTCCAAATGCACTGTCATGCTGCCAGTCTTGTACGAACAACTGGCAAAGTAGAAGTAAAATAGATAAGTTGTTTGAGGTGGTTGTGCTTTTTTAACATTGTGCAGCTTCAGGTTTCTGTTCTTGGCTGACAGGAATGGGACACAACATGGTTTTCTGCTGCTTCTCCTGTTTCAGTCCATCAACCTCATTGTGTGTTTTATTCTGAGATGTGTTCTGCTCTCATCAGTTATAAAGAGTGGTTATCTGAGTTACCATTGCCTTTCTGTCACCTCCAACCATCTGGCTTTTTCTAAGACGTTTGCGTCCTCATACTCTGTTTTTTGTTTGTTTTTCTACAACACTCAGTGAACTTGTGTGTGAGTCTCAGGAAATCAGCAGGTTGAGAAATACTTAAACCAGCTTCTCTGGCACCAGCAATCATGTGGCGGTCTAAGTCACAGAAAATATATTATTTCCCATGATTTTCCCACACGATTGAATGATTGGATTTGGATTGTGGATTGTGGAAAATGATTCATGAAAACAATTAATATTGCTCGGATGAATCCAAACCTGCAGACCAACAAACCTCAGACGCCAAGACTTTTAGAACTATTGACTCAGTCATAAATACAAATGTACAAAAAGAAAGACAAATCTGTGGAGGTTATACCTCACAACCAATCCTGCATTAACAGCCTGTGCCGATCATTGTTCTAGTTCAAATTTACTAGTGACCAGTTTTTGAACACTTCACTGAAGGAACAACTGATGTACACTAGATTATAGCATGCTGACCATATACTGGTTGTGTCTTATAAATTGAAGGCTTCATTTCTTAACTCTGACCTTGTTGATATATACATATGATGTAGTTGTTAATGAAGTAATGCTCCCGATTATCCTATACACATCATATAATTACCAGTAATCTTGTGCTGAGAGACCTCAGTTTCACCAAGCTCACATTGAAGCATAAAACCTAAATAGAAAAGTAAACAAAGAAAACCAGTCGGTTGACTCCTGAATTTATTTATTTTTATTATCTTTATCTCGTACTTATCTGTCTCCTTTCAAAGTTGTGTTGGTCACACCTTATACATCCATGATAGTCAGCCCAGAAATGCTGAAACACACTTGAAAATCCTTGTACACATTAACACATGCTGGTACACATTCACAAATTTTCATAGACCTTTGCAAATGTCCAGTTAAACATTTCTAACTTACAGGTTATGAGTTAATTTCAAGTTGCATAGATACATATTTGATTTAATTTCTATTTTCCACTGTAGAGTCACTGGTTATCAGTGACCCAGACTTTAAGGAGGAGGACCCGAACTTCTTGTCGCGCAGCGAGCGCTATGACCAGGCTGTTCGAAAAAGTGCCCAAATGATCCTGAAGCTCAGAGAGTATGGCATCGCAGACCCAGAAGAGATCTACTGCTATAAGAAGTAAGTGATACAAAACAACTTCTAATGCAGTTAACAGTTTGGGTCCTTGGCTGATTTAGTTAAAAATATACAGTTTATTGATTCAGATATGAGAACTGTGAATTGTGATGCTGTGACCATTATGCTGTGTAGATCAGAGGTGGAGTAACATTGCAGCTTGACCGTGTAGCCGTTTGAGGAAGTAAACAGATCCAGTGGGGACAAAGTTCATCATGAGATTAGAATTATGTAAGAGGGTATGTAGCTTTCACCAGTTGTGAATAGATGATGTTTCCTATACCTTTATGAGCATTTAGTTGTAGTTAAGTTCTATGATACAGTGCAAAATTACTTTTACAGTGTGTGTTGTTCCTACAGTGCTCTCACAATACACTCATACAAAAAACACAATAAATTATAATATAAATACATGTACATACAAATATACAATAATATAATATATGAAATATAATATAATATATAAATATATGGTAATTTAATTAATATAAACTTGGATCACAGCTGTAAAAATCACATTGTCTTGCAGGACATCCATAGAACATGTGAGTCACATCTGTAATCAGTGAGAATCTAGTCTAATCTTCAGTTGTCTATCCTATACTTTACCCTCACCCAGTATTTTTAAAGGCAACCACCAAGAGGCATTGGGGCTACACTTTGCCATGTTCTTGCCGACCCTGTACAACCAGTGTGACCCTCAGCAGTCCAGGAAGTGGTTACCTCTGGCAGAGTCCTTCCAGGCCATGGGCACATATGCCCAAACTGAGCTGGGTCATGGTCAGTCCTGGACTTAGCCTTTAACCTATTTACCATATGGTTGTTTATATAGCACAAAATGTGCCTTTGTATCTATGAATGTAAAAGCCAAACTTATATGTTGGGCAGGAGAAATTGGCCCATATCAGGTGTCCCAAGAGTCATTCTGGTGATTTGTTGTATGTTTTTGACAGATCCAAATCTGCAGAAATCTTCTAAATAGCTGCATGCTGACAACTCTTCCCTCGTGTAACATTTTGTCCTAACCACGAGGAACGAGGAAAAAGCAGGTCAAGTCTGGGGGATATACAAGATTTGTAAATCATAGGCAATTTGAATGGTCAACAGACAAATAATGAGTCAAATACAAATATGAACGCTGTAAGTACAGTGTGTAATGTACAGTAAGTGCTTGCTCCCGGCCAAACAGCTGAGAACTCAGGCAAGTCCATTCGCCAACTTTATTATATACATTTTTATTCTGACGAAATATTTTTTATGAAAAGGTTGTAATTGACTATGTTTATACATTTTATGACCACTAGCCTCCTCTTCTAAACTATTACAAGCCAGTGGAGTTCTAGCCAACACTATAGGTCCAAGTCCCAGAGTGTCATTTATGTCATGAAATAATGTTTCGTTAACCTCATTCTTAGCGCTGCGACTAACAATGTTCAAATGTTCACATATGAAAGCCAGGAACTTTGGAAAAAAAAATCGCAATTAATTGTCCTTAATTCAACTCATCAATTAATTGACTTGTTATTTGTAGCATCACACTTCTAATTCACTAATTCACTTTGTCATAACCGGTTGGATGTTAACTTGTTCACTGTCTGTGTATCTATTGCATGGATTATATTGACACGCTTTTGACTAAAATAAATGAACATACAGACTACATCTTTATTTAGTTCAACATCCAGGTAGTGAAGAACAAGAAGTGTGACTACTTGATCAGATAAGGAGCCTTATGCTTTGATTTGATCAGCAGATTGTCAGAAACGCCAGCAGCCGAGCCTGAACCGTGAACTGGCAGAGAAAATATCTCAATATTGTACATAACTGAGGAGTTCCCATTCGGCAGAGGAACTTGAGAAATGAAGCTGCTGAAGAGTTCAAATGAGTGTTTCAATCCACGACATGCTCACAAGCTGTTTTAATTTGTCTTTGTCACAATCATGCTGGCACATTCTTTATCGCGACCCTCATTTCTTATTGATTTGAGCCATATCAAATCTCACCAATAACCACCATTCTCTCTTCAATCATCTCACATTACCTTCTGTAATATGGCATCCATCAAAAATTCTCCATGCATCTCCTGCTTTACCTTTCCAAATTCCCACTTGCTCATCTTTTCCGTGCACCCCCGTCCTGCGTTGCCTAGCTGTGTGCACCCCAGCAGGCCAGAGCCCTTGGATCTCCATTTGGGGATGTTCCTGCCAACACTGCTCAACCAGGCCACCTCAGAGCAAATGGACCGTTTCTTCATGCCCGCCTGGAACCTAGAGATCATCGGGACCTATGCTCAGACTGAGATGGGCCACGGTAAAATTAACAGCAGTTCAAAAACATCAGGCTTGTTTCTTTAGACTGAACCTTCAATAATAATCGAGAATTATTTGGTTGTTTTGTCATTGCTAATGCCAAAAGGAATGGTAATAAAATTAATGAATGACTGACTATTAATGCAAAACAATTTGTAACTCTAGTGCATTTTTCTGACCTGGCTTTATACTAAACATCCATTAATAGTCATCTGAGAAAAGTTAACACTTTCTCTAACAGGAGGGTTTTTAACATCCTTCACATCATTTGTATCATGTGGATATGAGTTCAGTAGGAAAGGCTATGCAAGTTGAAGGGTAGATTGTTAACAAATTCCAATTTTGGGATGACATTTTTAACACTACTACAAGTTCACATGGTGGTTAATGCAACCACAATATATGGTGTTAAACATCCATGGCACAGTGCAAACTTTTGACTCGTTTCAACCTGATTGGCCACTTGTGTTAGCTGATCCGCTGGACAAGTATAAAGTTATAAAAGCCCCAAATATGGTGGCCAAACAACTGTGATTGTTTCCCTTTTAACTATATATTAGAGTCTTGACCAATTAATCAGTTGGCCGATTATATCGGCAGCTTAAACAGACAGATCAGTGTCAGTGTTTATGTTTACTGCTGTGCACTGATATGAAAGCTTTTATTTGGGAGAGTAAATGATGCAGAAAAGCACAGAGTTTTAATATTTGGTTGTGTTGCTGTTTTATTTTATTTACAGTTTTCTATGATTACGTTAATGTTGAAACAAAATGTCCTTGTCATACATTTTTCACTCCCTAAAATACATATCGGTCGGGCTCTTCTTCATTCCCACATCTCGGGAGTACAGTCTGTTAATATATGTTATGCTGCCTGACCATCAGCCTGCGTCTGATAGCTCTTTTTTTACCTTTCGTTTACACTTACCAGCATGTTTTTCTCTTGCCAGTTTGTTTTAAAGGTCCAGTGTGTAAGATTTAGGTGAAAGGGAACTATTTATTGTAGAATAATCCTCATGATGTTCTCACAAGTTCGTTTCATCTAAATTAGATGAATTGTAGTTTTCTTTACCCCAGAAAAGGCCCTTTATATTTAAATACTTATTATTGACATCAAGGGGGTCCTCTCTACAGAGGCCACCATCTTTTTTACATTAGTCCAGACTGGACAAACTAAACACCTTTAGAGTTTTTATGACAACTGAAGGCTTCTACAGGTTCTTTTTCATGTTTGGAAGGAGAGGGTGAGGTGAGGGGTGTTCAGCTGCAACATGAAATTTCAACACTAGATATCACACAATTCTACACACTGTACCTTTAAACAGATACATTGCCTGTACTAACCATCTTTAATTGTTTAATATGTTGTATGTTTGCTATGCATGGGTTGGAATGTGTCTTTGCCTGCAGATCAATATAACAACATGGATTCCAGCTTGAATTGGCTTGATTTGGAAAACCCACCACAGACAACCCCCTGTAGACCTGTTATTATTAGATGCAAATTCAGAGTCTGTCATAGGCATGACAAAGATACAGCATTAACTGAATCATAGTGAAATATGATAGACAGTTTTTGGATCTGTCAAACGCTGCTTTGCTACTTTATGTCAGAGGCTAAACATGATTTTTGTTTTATCCATATTCATATTTGATGTTTAGAGTTCTGTATTCTGTTATATTCTTCAATTCATCATCAGTAGTCTGTTAATGTCACTTTAATGTTAGTTATAGATCAGTGGTTAATAATGTCATTTGTATGCATGCTTGACAGAATAATGTCTTCATTCATTTTTACCTTTCCTCCGTACACTCTGTATGTGTGGGTTTGGTGGGGATTTATATTTCGCCTGTCTCTAGGCACACACCTGAGAGGGCTGGAGACCACTGCCACATATGATCCAGCCACACAGGAGTTTGTTTTGAACAGTCCCACAGTCAGCTCCATCAAATGGTGGCCTGGAGGACGTAAGTACATTATTCTGCTCTCTGGAATTTGGGTTTTATTACAAGGAATTGAATGTATAATATTATTAGGTGTAATATTTTACTCAAGGTGCTGCAATTTCTTTTTTCTCATTTTTCTTCCAGGCTGAGAAAACTTGATTGACAGTCAGAACAAACCCCATTGTTTAGTTTGAACTCTGTCTCTCTCTCTTTCTAGTTGGAAAGACCTCAAATCATGCCATAGTCCTCGCCCAGCTCTATACTCAAGGAAACTGCCGTGGTCTGCATGCTTTCATCGTACCCATCCGAGACATGAGCACTCACGTACCCCTGCCAGGTAACCACTGCCTGTGATGTGTCTCTGGATGTGGTGTTTATGGTGTTTAAGTCCATCCTCATTAACTTTGTGTCTGTTCCCTCACTTTTTCTGTCTGGGCCTCCGTCTTTCTTAGGTGTTGTGGTCGGAGATATCGGCCCCAAGTTTGGCTTCAGTGAAGTTGACAACGGCTTCCTGAAACTAGAGAACGTACGAATCCCACGGGACAACATGCTGATGAAATATGCCAAGGTGATGTGACATTTAAGTGTGTTTAAGAAACTTAAAATGATTTATATGATTCTTTTCAACCATTCAAAGCACAAGGCGCATTCACCCATTCACACACACACACACATCAATCCAGCGCTTCTACACACATTTGGGGATCGGGTGATTTGGGGTTCTGTGTCTAGTTCAAGGAAACTCTGGAATGCTGGAGCAGGGGATTGTATCATCGACCTTCCGGTTAGAGGACAAACTCCTATTCCACTTGAGCCACAACAACCCTTTTAGGTTGTTTTAGGTTCAATGCGATATGTATTTTGATGAAGCAACTACAAATGAAATACAATATGATTCACATTAATCTAATACATTGTGACACAATTTGATTGAACACAATGACAGCCAGTGGAGATAGAAGCTCACACTTGGGAAGCAGTTAGTAGAGGAGGAATCTAAATATAATAATAATACGAAATAATATGATTGGTCACATTTCAAAATAATAAACATTCAATTTAACCAATGCACAGATGTATGAAATGATTCATCCTAATTTCTATACAGTATTTTTTAATCATTCTAACAACTTCATGAATTTTTATACCGAATCATTCAATCTTACATTCCTAATTTCCACCGCAGCCTGTTGCTTAATACCAATGAGTGTTTTGTTTACCAAGAGGGAAGGTTGTATCGCATTCTCATCCTGTTTTATCACAGATAGATAAGTACCTGTGTAGTTGACCTTTACTTTTAAAATATCCTGACATCATTGTAGCAGAATACTTTTGGATTTTGAACTTCTTATTTTTTAATGAAGTAATGGTGGGAATACATTTAGTATTTGCTCCTGAATTGTCTCCTCTCACAGTTACTCTGTTTCGCCACTAGGTGGAGCCAGATGGGACCTATTTGAAGCCACCAAGTGCCAAACTGACCTATGGCACCATGGTGTTCATCCGCTCCATGATTGTAGGGGAGTCAGCTAAGGCCCTCGCCAAGTCCTGCACGATCTCCATCCGCTACAGTGTTGTTCGCCACCAGTCTGAAATCCGAGCTGGGTCAGTCATTTCAAGTTAACTTAATAATATATAATAACTTTATTTACATAGCACTTATCTGAACAAAGTTTTTAACAAAATACATGGTTAAATAAATAAAACAAACTGCTTAGTTTATTTATGCTGTTTTCTGGTTTATACAGTAAATATATGGATCAGGTAATTTGGTACTACTACTATATTAGCAAATTAGACTGAGAATATTTCAAATCATATTCATTGACATGTTATAACTGAGCACTTGAAAACAGCAGCATAATTCGGGAAAAAAAAGGGAAAATAGAAATACCACTGATTTTATCATGGTTCTATCTCTCACTACATCATCATCATAATCAAAGGGATTGGCACTGAAATATCAAACTTGTGTGTTTCTGTCCCACAGAGAGCCAGAGCCACAGATCCTCGACTACCAGACGCAGCAGTACAAGCTATTCCCTCTGCTGGCTATGGCCTATGCATTCACTTTTGTGGGCCAGTACATGCAGGCGACCTACCGGCGCATCAGTGGAGACATCAGCCAAGGAAACTTCAGTGAACTGCCTGAGGTAGAGACCAGACATACACACGTCAGGATGTGACATAAGCTCAGGGATCTCTGATTGGCCAGTGTGAATTCATGAGTGCTATTGTTTATATCATTCTATATTTTTGAAGACCATTTACAAATCATCTTTTAAATATGATAGATTTGCATGAAGCTATTTTCACCCTTCTTGCTCTTCAATTTTCAGCTCCATGCTCTGTCTGCCGGTCTGAAGGCCTTCACCACGTGGGCAACCAACTCTGCTATTGAGGTGTGCCGCATGTCATGTGGCGGCCATGGCTACTCTCGCAGCAGTGCCTTGCCGGACATTTATGTTGAGTTTACTCCCACCTGCACCTACGAGGGTGAGAACACTGTCATGATGCTGCAGACTGCAAGGTAATGCATCACACAGAAATGCATGACCACAAATGTGACACCCATCATGTGTGTCACACACTTAAATAGACTAAGAGCAGAAAACAGACACATACAGAGAGAGACGCACACACACAGCAGCCTAATTATACCACAAATGCAGGCGACACACCCGCCCTCCTCCCACAGAAAAAACAAACAAAGGTCACATTTTATAAATGAAGTACACACACAAAGGTCAAAGGCGCTGAGAATGAGAATTCATGAAAATGCTTGATATATGAAACCATATTTGGGTTTTAGTAAAAAGGTTTACACAAAGCTGGAATAGCAGGGAGATGTGTGGTTGTTACGTGAGTACTTTTCTGTTAGTCCTAATGGGGGTGATGTGAATTGTGTGTTATTATCAAACATGTCTACTAACTTAATATCATCTCTCATCCACAACAGCATTAAAACTACTATGGGTTTCAAACAATCACACAGGATGAACACAAAGCAGTTTATTAGCTAGTTTGTGAATCCATGTTTATTTTTGTAGACCTCATCTGTGTGTGGCCTGAACTTTTATCTGTGCAGATACCTGGTGAAGAGCTACAGGCAGGCTAAGGACGGCCAGCAGCTGAGCGGCATCGTCTCTTACCTGAGTGAAGCGGATCATCGGAGGGTGCAGCCCCAGCCCGTCGCTGCCAGACCAACCGTGGTTGACATCAATGACTTATCTAGTCTGGTGGAGGTCTACAAATTACGAGCTGCCATGTAAGAGACAACTGTCTGACACTGCATGATTGTGCTTTTACCTGAAATCTGCTGTATTCTATCCAACCATTCCTTCCTAGACTTGATTGATTTATTAATTGGTGAAACTTCAGTCTTATTCCGCAGGAGCAGTTCCAGGTTTCAGAGGAAACTAATAGGCAGAATTGTTTTTGTACTTGAACTCCTAAAGCTAAATATTATTATGTTATGGCATGTTTGGTTAATGCAGATGTGTTTTTTAGTCTTGTGGAGCTTGCAGCCAAGAGCATCCAGCAGGAGTTGCAACACAGGAAGTGCCAGGAGGACGCCTGGAACAACAGTGCTATCGACCTGGTCAGAGCCTCAGATGTAAGTTCAGTCTGTGTGTTGGTGTTTGTGGGTGTGTGGCTAAAGCATCTCACCTAACTTTTGAATATTATCCTACTGCCAGAAGTAATGTACGGGTTAAATGAGAATGTCCATTGATATTATTCTTTTACAATAAAACTCACTTTTTTTGCTTTCATTTTATAAATAACTCAAGACATTTTGTGATCTTTGGTAGTTTTTAACCTTCAATATCTTGCAGTTTCTTGTCTCTCATCATGGACTTGACTTACGTGTCCTCCTGTTTTCCGTCTCCAGGCCCACTGTCACTATGTTGTAGTGAAGCTCTTCACTGATAAGCTTGGGGAGATCGGCGACACAGCGATACACTCTGTGTTGTCGACGCTGGCTCTGCTCTACGCCCTGAATGGCATCAAGCTTAACTCTGGAGATTTCCTACAGGTCAGAACAATCATTATAGAAAAAGTATGGTCCACAGTCAGTTGTGGATTGTAGTGACGCTCTACTGTCTGTTATTTGCATTCTTGTACTGTGTGTCTGTCTGTCTTCACTGTCAAGTTTCACTCAGCCTCAATTCCCTCTTTGTCTCTGAGCTAATAAATGGAGGTTTTTGTGTGTTGGATCTCTGTTTCTGTGTGGCTTGTGTGTTTATTGCTGTGTAAATGAAGCAATTTCCTTAAAACATTTTTGTTGTAGTTGAACTTTAAATTAATTACTTCTTAGGTGGTAGGGTTACTAGATTGTGTGAAATGATCAGTAGGATAATGAACAACTTATATTCACATGTGTGGACTAGCACAGCTTAATTAGCATATGCCACATCACTTACATCCACATATCCACCTTTCTCTTTGTCATTTTCAGGCTGGTCTGCTCAGTGGGCCCCAGGTGCTGCAGATCTCTGTTCGTATCAAGGAGCTTCTGTCTCAGCTGAGGCCCAACGCTGTGGCGCTCGTAGATGCCTTTGACTTCAACGACAAGCTTCTAAATTCAGTCCTGGGACGATATGATGGAAATGTCTACGAGAACTTGTTTGAATGGGCTCGCCGCTCACCCCTGAACTCCACAGAGGTCAGTCAGAGTCACCACAGTGAAATAATAGTAATGACAGAATATTCTCAGCCTGAGTCTTAGTAAATAACTTTCAGATCGTTGTTGCCTCTTCACTAGTGTCCACATTACTTTTGTCAGTTAGTTGAACAAAAGAGGGATAAACTGTGATTACCATGTTTTTTCCCCTCTTGTTCCCTATGTAAGCTTAATCAATTCTCTTCTCTCTTCCACAGGTGCATGAATCCTTCCACAAGTATCTAAAGCCTCTGCGGTCCAAACTGTGAGCGGATCCTTGCACCTTTTAATCCTGGCTCTGACCCTTCACCTCTGCGTACATAGGAAAAACCATAACAGTGCTAACCCATCATATCAGCCCCATGATGGTCTTCACTCATTGTTGGCTTGTCTTACTTTGAAGGAACCTAGCCCTGTCTAGTCTTGTAGACAACCTTTAACAATCTGAAGATGATTGGAAGCAAAAGGGGGACAGGAAGCAAAACCAGAAATCAAACTTATATCTAATGAAGTCAATATTTTGTGCCAGAAAATGTAGCTTTGAAAATGCTGAAAAATAATCAAGAATTACAGTTTAAGTTGTGTTTTCTCTTGAGAAACTCCATTCCATCAGCAGAATCAGTTTTGGTTGCTTCCCCTGACTACATGGACCAACATTTTATCTAAAAAAAGGCACCATTCATTTGTCCCTGACATTTATCGTTCGCTGTAGGCATTTTGTAGACTTTTCTTCTTCTCAAGTCTGCCAAGCCCCTGACCATCCTGTGCCAGTTCATTATGTTGTAATATGATCGACTGCTCTAGTCTGCGGGGGATAAACAGCACAGCAGTTTACAGCAGTAGATCAATGGAAACAAGATTTAAAAACATTTTCCTTAAAATACTGTGTAATAACATTTTTACGCTTACTAAACATCTCTTAAACGTAAGAATTTTAATTTCTATATTTAGTATCAAATGCCCAGTAAGCTACCATTGTGTCTGTTTCACATTTGGTAGTTTCCTCCTAAGATAACAATGGCTCACATTGTTCATTTAGAAAAAACACAATGGTTTTACATGATGGAAAAATACCTAAATTATTCCAGTTACTGTTTCACTCACAAAGACAAAGCAATCTGTCTTTTTCCTCAGTTCCACCACTTGTCACGTGAGCTGCTGTATATTTAATAACTGCGTCATACTTGACTGGTTGACAACACAGATACTAGTGTGTATGTCTGAGTCTCCACATGCTTCTGAATGTGTTTGTGTGACAGAAAGGCTTTCGGCAGACAAATGGTGCAAGGTGAGGCGTGTCAAGTTTGAGAAAAGACATGAATTTCTGACAGTTGTTGAGTGTTTAATGAGGCCACATATCTTTTTATCTGCACTATTACCCCCCCCCCTGCTCTTTGAGGTTGATATAAAGAAGGGTCTCACCCCTGCCAATATCCAGATGATTTTTGAAATATTTTAAACTTAAAATAAATCTAGTGTTAACATGCTATGTTGTTCAAGTCTTTCTGGTTGAATTCTTCATGTTCAGATAGGATCAAAATCTGTTCAAACTGGATGACTTTTTCTAGATTAATGCTTCCCTATATTTTTGTTATTACAGTTTCAGAATTGGTGGATTTGTGCTCTTGGTTCATGTCAACTTGCAGAAGATTATTTTGCTCTGTGAGCAATCAAATCTAAACGGTAGATACTGAGGCTGATGAATGTACGGAGCAATTTGTGACTGTAAAGACACTGAGGAAACGGGGGAGCTTTAATCTAAAGCCTCATTGTGGACTGTAAAGATGATTTGTGGTGTAACATAATGTGCCTGAGGAATTTATCTTACCTTAATCTAACTAATTGAAAAAAGTCATAGTATTTCATTTCTGTTTTCACACAGATCAGTTGATTCTGCTGTAAGGGCACAAGACAATATGTAATGACTAAGCTGTTTGTGTGATAATTTGTTGAATAACAGTGACTTTAAGCTACACTATTTTAGTGGTTAGTGAATAATTTAACCTGCAAGTTATATTAATAAAAAATCCAAAAAAAATCATTGTGTTGTGTTTATATGTCTTAATCCTATTTTTAATTGGTTTTAAAGGCCTCTGGAGGATTCCACTTTGGGTTACCAACAATATTAGGCCCAACACCTCATATAGTATCAGCCAAAAATATTGCAGCAACATGTTACATTGTAAAACCCCATGAATTTCTACTTTAAACCCTAAGAAGACAGTGGAATCCTGCTATAAATGTTGTCAGAGCAACACCACAGCAGGCATTTAATGGGCCTCACAGATGTTGTACTATTCAGGCTATAAACACATCGTTGGTGGCTGTTTGGTCACGATGTAGACTAGTCTTTTCTAGTAAACTACCATTGCGAATGGTCAAGTCTATTGGCGGGACCTCGATATCTTACAGCCACACTACAATAACTACAGCACTCTGTGGCTCCAGAATGACATCAAAACCACAAGATGGCAGTGCTTTGGAAGTGTATTTTTTGTATAGCTGAAGGAAGTGGAGAGGTCTCATCCACTTTTACTACATGTGCCAAGGTTATGTTTTTGTCTGCATTTGTTGTCTGTAAGATCATGCCAAAAACATAACATTTTGTGGAGGGGTGGGGCATGGTGGAGAGAAGAACCCAGTAAATTGTGTTGTGGGTCTGGATCATGGGACAGAGCTATTCATTTTGTTATGCGTTCTTAAACAGGGGCTGATATTTTTGAATGGTGCAGATCCAAATAAAAATTATATGGGGAAAATTCCACAAAACTTGGTGGAAGGATGCGATGTGAGTCAGAGAACACATAACATTTTGTTGTGGATCTGGACCAGGGTGTTGTTGTTGTTTGTCCTTGATTTCCCGGAGAATAAATGATGGCTCTTAACTAGTGTACAGTCTTGAACCATCCCACAAAATGAAAGTGTTTTGAACTCTGCCTTTAAGATTGCAAAACTCACACATTTTCTTTGCATTGTTAGAAAGTGGAGGACAATCGTATGAGAAAAATGTACTCTACTTCATTTTAAAACTGCAAAACCTGTACTGTGACTTACATAGGGCGTAGCACTGACACACAGTTGTGAATTAAAGTTTGTTTTTAACACATTTTTTTTTTTCAAATCACTTTAAAGAACTTTAATTTAAATTTGTAACATTTCATAAAGAAACTGATATGGGCACTATTTTCCCTCCACAGCACCAGGCGTGTTGAGCGCAGCTCCAGAGCGGGGGCCGGGAGCTGCAGGAGGCTGGACCCGGGCCTGAGCTCGCCCCCTCGGTGGACGAGAGCAGTGGAGGCTCCGCCCCCTGCTCCTCCGCCGGGCTGAGGTGGAGGATTTTTGGAAGAAGAGAAAGAGGGAAGTGGAGACACCGGTGGTGAGGCGGACATATTCCTCGTATCCCCCTCTTCTCGTGAACAGCAGGACACTCGTGTGCCCCTGGAGGTGAGTGAAACTACAAGTTTTGTTTTTGGTAGAAGTGAGCTGCTTAGTGTCGCTGTCACAGTCGAGTTGAAGCTTGAAATAACTGCAGATAAACAAACTGAGCGCTTCCGAGTCATTTGTCAAAGGGAAGGTAGTGACACGCTGTTAGTAGAGATCGTTTCAAGTGTTTTTTTAAAGAGGGCTAGTGACAGTCGGAACGGTGGAAGAAGAGGCAGCGTGTCCCGGGAAAGCCCTTTGTTGCTCTGCCCGCCGGGAGACGAGTACATGCGGATACACTATCCACCTCCACCCCCCCACCCCCCCTCTGTTATCCGTTCATACTTCATTAAAGTCTCCATGTGCCGCCGCGGTCATTCAGCCCTCCATGTGTTTTATAGCAGGGAGTGTTCACACGCCGTATTTCACGAGGAATCCCTCCGCAACGGTAACTGACAATTTTATGTGAACTATAATATTAATACATTTTATTTTCTCGGTTCTGGTGTATTTGTAAAACGCATTGGAATGATGGCGATGATGCCATGCCCCACGATGATATCCCGATAATCTGCGATAATCGATACACTGCAAAACAATCATATAACCATGCATCACGATATCCGAACACGAAATGCCCCTGAAGAGATAAAGTGCAGGATTTATATTCACTCGTTTTGGTTTCAGTTCCACAGAGTTTGACACAAACTGAGATGAAACAGTGGAAAAAAAAGTCTTATGTTAGTTTAACAAACACACTGTGACTTGTCAGTGTCAACATGTGCCGTCATTCCAATGTGACATATATATAAAGTGTCCAAAGTCTTAACTAGATAAAACGAAATAACCAAATATCGATATATAGTGATAATCCTATCTAATAAGAAGATATATTGACATATCAATATGTTGTCCCACCCCTAGTTGACAGCCTGTGAACATGTGGCTTTAAATGAAATGTGGGAACGACTGTTAATAAGTCTGTTAGTGTGTGTGTGTGTGTGTGTGTGTGTGTGTGTGTGTGTGTGTGTGTGGACGAGCAGATGGGTCTGTTGAGTATAAAAACCTTATCAGATGTTTCTTTAGCTCAGAAACGTGTGTAGCAGTAAATTAAAGAACGAAGTTGGCTACACCTGTTCTCACAGATCAGGTTAATGTGGTTGTCAGATCATTTCTGAACAGTGAACTCAATGAAAATGTAGGTCAGTGTAACTCAGCACAGTTCACCCCTGCTGTCACCTGTTGTTGCCGATGTGCTAAATGAAAAGCTTTAGTTGACTAGAAATAGTCAGGATGTATGTAGGAAGTTCAGGTGCCAGAACACAGTACTTATTTAAAACATAGAAATTGAGTGCACTTAGGTTCAGCTATCACTGATGTGTATATAATAAAGCCCGACCAATATGGATTATTGGAGGCATACACGCTGATACCAATACCAGTTGCCCCTGAAATCCAATCAAGCTGCACCAAATTGCACCGACCCATTAATATCATTCCTCTAAATATGCCAGATTTTTAATATTTACGGAAAATTTAAATAAAATGCCAAATCACCTGTACACGTGTCTAAATGTTCAGCATAAATGAATCTCAAGATGTCCTTAGTGAGGCTTCATATTTTACAATTTAATCTGAAATTTTATTACAATTTACAGTAAATAAAAAGAAGTACAACCACATATATAGAACTTGAATTAAGAAAAGAAACCTTTTTTTTTTTTTACAAAATCATATTCGCAATACAGACACAAATATGTCAGTGAAAGGCTCATATTTGTTTATCAGTCAGGCTCTAGCATAAACGTTTCTATCAACATATGATTAATGACAAAATGATGCACAAAGGAACAACATGATCATTGCAATAACTAGTACGGCATTACTGTAGTGTTTGTCTTATGGTATGTACTAAAAGTAAAAATCACACCATAAAAGCACTGGGTTGTGTTTAAGCCATCATTCGTATGTTATGTTGAGCATAGGAGCAGTCTTTTGTTGTGATTACTCTCGTCACAGTCATTCTGGGTAAGGTGCTTGTCACACATTTCCAATGAATAAGAGATAACAGAAACGTAGGAAACCTTACAAGTTTGCACAAAGTCAGGTCAGTTTTAGGATTGCAGTTCATTTTTAGGTGATTACTTTAGGAGCGCACTTGTGATAAAATAACTTAGACTCTGTGGTGAAAGGTTGCTGTCTTTAACTCTTTTTGACCATTGCTAAACGTGTCCATCTTGTACCGCCACATTAATTGCCTCAAGGCTGGATTACTGAAACTCTGTACCTGGGTATTGATCGGTTGCTTTGTTCAATTATGTTTTATTAAACATAGGTTAACATTCCATTTAATATAAATTAACAATACTGTTAAATACGTTGACCTCTTTTTATTTTCTATACGATTGATCTCACATTTTATTCCAATATCCTTGTTGGAACTCATACTTGCACAATACTGTAGAGTTACACATAATATTTATATATATCTCATGTTATTTTTAAAAAAATAGGCTAATCTTAACAACAACAAACTATTAGACTAAGTATTTTCTTGAACAGAAGTAGGCATCCTGTTTCATCATCATGTTGTGGAGAGATGAGTAACAGACTGTTGTTTAATGGTGTTTTGCATTGCACTCCATGTTTGGTTTGTGCTGCTGTGAAGACAATCCAGTAAAAAGAGGAAACGTATGCACAGAGGGTGGGGCATGTGTTGTACAACATGCAGCTCAGCAGTAGCTGCATATATACAGTATATGTGACATGTTGTTTGAACCAGCTGTGCATCTGTCATGAATTAACAGACTGTGTCAGAGAAAACTGTGAAAATTGGAAAATATTAATACGAGGGAACGTGAGTTGAACCAAAACGTTTAACATCCATCCATCCACCCATCCATTATCTATACCACTTATTCTGTGAGGGTCGGGGGTGGGGGGGTTCCTGGCACCAATCCCAGCTGATTTAGGGTGAGAAAACATTTCACACTCCATCAGCCTGAGTGAGCAAGCTGCGTTTTGATTTTAAATTTGGATTTCCTTTTATTTATGGTCATGTTCCCAGAAAAAACTGTTTTTTGTTAAAGCCGGTTTTAAACAGGCGCAGTAAGTTTTCTCCAGTGGTTTCCAGCTCAGATCGGTTGATCGTCAGGGTCCCTAATGGATTTTCCGGACGGCTCCCCAGAAACTGTGAAGTGATTTAATGGATTGATTTTTGCTTCTTTTAGCTGAGGTCAGAGTTCAATAACAGAAAACACATCTGCTCAGAGGTTGCAGTGTCTTTATTGTTACCTTTCTATTAACAAAGTACTATGTGCCATTAGGGTTAGGTACTGTTTCTCAACAGTTACAGAGACAACAGAGGCAATCTGATTGGCCCCATAAGTGCCGCTGTCCTGTCAGAAGTCCTTTTTTAAATACACAATGTGTTTGAGCAAGGAACATTTACTAAATACATGTCTATTCAATGAAGTGTGGTTTTGTACAAAGATATAGAGCTAACAGTAAACAAGGAATGACTTCAATGTGCACCTTACTGAATCAGAAATTCTACATGGATGTCAGACATATAATTGGCTACTCTGTCTAGCTTGTGGCCCCTGATTTAGAAAAGTCCCATATGTGCCACTGTGTTGATGTACAGTTTAGAAACCTTCTGACTTATCCAATTTCATTCAGCATCTTCCACTCTGCCACAGTGACACAATCACATGCTCTCATCACTTCTATAGATTTTCTTTCCATGACCTTATCTGTTTTTATCTGCTTTGCCATTACACGCCCAGAAAACACAGTGTCTTTTCTTTGATACTAACATCAGTAAGAGGAGTATCTAGCTGCTGGATTGCCTGATGGAATGGAATGAAATTTTCCTGCACTCCCTTGCCAACCCTCGTTCCACAGTGCATGATACACATTTCAGAAAAATTGTAGCACTGGAAATACTTTGAAATCCAGAGAGTCTTAAACCTTAAAAGGATTTTTCTGTGGATGCACTTTCTCATAAAGCTCCCATTGGCACAGAGAGTAGTTGGTCAAGACCGTCTGTATTTATGTTGGCATTTGAAAAGCTCATTTTCTCTACGTCTCTTTCTTGCTAGATCCAGGGGACAAAATGCCTTTATTCAAGTTCTGTCTGGCATCGTGGTTAATTTGTGACAGTGCACTTCTTTGTCCGTTTCATCTCCAACAGTCAAGCTGAGCCAGACAAAATTGTCTCTCACAAAACCCTCAGAAGCTGTTTTGGGTTACACATTTCAGCATTCGCATTTATGTACGCACATGTTGCACCAGGGATGGAGAGGAAACACACATAGCTTTGTCTGTGCACACACTGCATGAACATTAGTTGATTGAGTGGAACTCCTGGGCTGGGAACAAGGCTGTTGCTGAGGTATGTGCATTAGTGGCTCACAGTTTTGCAGGTTTGGGCATGCTGGCTGTTGGAGAATGGTGTCAAAACTGTTTCTGGAATGGTTGGGTTCAAGCCAAGGTCCCTTTACAACATGATCCCTCAATAGTAAAGAGAAATTCTTGTCTTCAAATGGCTTTGAAAGTGAAGATATCGGTAAAGAACATGTTTTTTTGACAGAATCACTATCTAGATGTATTGTGGTTGAAAGTAAAGAATGAGTGGGCAGTTTCAATCGTTGCTCTGACTGTTGAGAGGCAAACACAGACAGCAATGAAACTCACACTCTCCTACACCTTCAGTAAAAAATTTCTGTTGAAGCTCCTGCTGACATTAACGACTGCCTGCTCAGTTATGAATTGTTTTTACCATACACCCTTAGTGGAAGCAAGACATTTATTTGTAAACTCTAAAGCATTTAAAGTTGTTGGTACTTGTGGTAATCTAATGGTAACGTGTTTTTGTTTATTTTCCTTGCAGGATCTACAAGGAAGTTGCATGTAAACCTTGATGAATGTTAAGAAGAAGAAGTGATGAAACATTTATCTGAAGGTCAGTTCCTCATTTAGCTTCGGTTAAGAGACTCAATATATAAGTCCAAGGCACCGACTATAACAAATTCTGCACGGTAAGATCACATACTTGTAGTTCCAAATGCTGATCTCTTAATCACTAATTCTCTGTTGATTTGTATCAGTGTGCAGACACAGTAATCTAGAGGGAAATGTTCATGAATACTGTGGTTAAAGACAGTGTGAAAAAGCAAGTGTCTGTGACAAAAGGAAGGATGTTGTTGTGTAACGTGTGCTGCTCAAGCATTTGCTTATCACTCATGTATGTTAGAGTCAGAAGCACCAAAATAACTAACTAATGCATGGATGGATTGTCACCTTACTTGCTGGGAATATTACTTGGGAAGTTATGACTAACTTTTGGAGCTGATTGGTCAAAGGTCATGGCAAATCAAAAACATCGTCAGAAAAACTGTATCTCTGTAAATAGCAGGGCTAGAGAGGTCATCTGAAGCCTATGTTGACCCTATCATATATCATATGATAAGTGATGTCATGACAAAGTCACAGTGAATTTAAATTAAACCCTTATGATGAATAAAGGTAATTGAGGCTTGGAATCGTTAGCTATATAGTTTTTTAAATTAAAGTAAACCTGAATACAACCACATACTTTTACATTTTTCAATGCAAAATGTAAACATAAATGAACATATTTTCTGCATTGTCTATTCTGTTGAAATAAAAGTGTGTAAAGGGCTCATATCAGTGAGTTGTGAGATGATTTACCAAACAGTAAAATAAATGAAATACAGTTTAGTGACAATGAGCATTGATTTTCTATATCCGGAGATCTTATTTACAGTACTTTACAAATGTATAAGACGTATCTGGTGCACTGGGTTAAACTCTTGCTAATATCACCACCTCTTAAGTAGATTTGAAGCCTACTAGACTGATACAAGTTGCTCTGGTGAGTTATGTAAATGCTTAAAATGGAAAAGTAGAGAGAAAAGACTCAGATTGGCTCAAGTTCAACAACAGTCACTGTTCTCACTACACAGTAAGAACAACAACATGCTTTTTACTTAGGTGGATGTGCATAGTGTAGTTTTTCAACCATTCCCTCTGGCTCAGATGTGAGAAGAATGCTAAAAATACCCAGGAAGTAAACGTTTGGTTGCTTTTGAAGAAGGCATAGTTGATTTTCTTTCCATGTATTTGCTTGTTGCATGATGTACTGAGGAAAAGAGACAGTAGGGCGAACTAAAGGCCCCTTGATAATAATAGTTTAAATCTAATAAATTGTATTATACTAACTGGTCATTGTGTTTTACATTCCGCATGTATTTTGGAATCTTAAATTAATTATGGGAATTGTCAAACAGTAAAACCACAGTACGCTCACCCTTGTTTTGCACCTTTGTCCAATGCAGCCTTCACTTAGTTGTCTCAGCTCAAGTGGAGAGGGTTCACTGCTATGCAGAGAGAGTGTGGCAGAAAATGAAACATGATCTCCTCCCCACACCCCTACACAGGGTATGGTGTTTGTAAGATAAGCAGAATTTATCCTAAATGTATTTACAAGCTATTCCTTTTTCAAAACTGTACAGCTCTGAGTGAATGAACAGAGCCCGCCATATCCTCGGGTATAAAGGGACACAACGCACAACTGCCTTGAACATCAGGGAAATGGGAATATACACAAACAGTGTGACACATTCTCAGGGCAGGATTCTCCGTGGGGAGAGGAGACTCAACCATGGTGACACCCTCTCAGAGGAACATGTGATATCACCAAACACAAGGGAGTGGATGTTGCTGATGCACCCCCACACACACACACTTACACACAGTATAGTCGTGCTGGTTTAATGGTGGAGTGAGGAGCTGCTTAGATGAACCAGTGAATTATTAGACCACAAAGGATCTCAGACATGCAGGGGCCCTTGTTCCAGGTCATGTGATCACATTAGCTATGGATGATGTCATTGTAGACAAGCCTCTTCCTTGCTCTGGTACGAGACTCTTTGTAATCGCAGTGTGTGAGTTGACAAGTTGACCCTCACACATCTGAGGTTGGGGAATCATTCAATTGTCTCTTTCAATTTTTTTTTTTACTTTTGTTTTCCATTCATACCCCAAACCCATTTGTTACATTAAAAACAGCATTTCATTTCAGCTTTATATAGATGGTACATGAGGCAGAGTGAACAGATGGTTAATCATTAGAAATCCTCCATGTTTATTCAGCAAATATGCCCTCGTGGTGCTGCTACTCACTTCCTGTCATAGCTAAGGAAAATCATGGTCATGGATTTAGTAAAACAACTGAGTTCATTTTAAAGATATTTTTCTTGTCTGTCAGAATTGGCTTCCTGCATACGGCAAAAAAATCACCTATTAAATTAAGCAAAAAACATCCATGATACGAACACTGCCATCATGGTCCGTTGACGTAATTTGTAGCCAGCCTGCCGGGAAAAAAACACACTTGAATAGACATTCGTATAACAACCACTTAAAATAACTAATCATCTTTGAGAAAAATTTATGTGAAGTATACTTTTACTTTTTGATTTGGAAGAGGAAGGGTTTTTGACCTGCAATTTGCCACCAGGGGGCATTAGAGACACTTTGGCTTCACTTTTGGGCTGCTGTCGTGTCGTCCATTCTTATATACAGTTTATGTTAAATGCTTGGGGGAAAAAAACATTTGAGTTGCAAATATAATATAGTTTTAAATTATGAATAGCTCAAAAATCAAGTTGAGTTGAGTGCCAGTATATTTACATGTGTTTACATTGAGACATGCATTAGCTTGTAGCTCTGTTTATCTCTCTATTATCTTTCCTCTGGAGAATATTCTCTGCAGTCTGCGCCTTTTAGTTTTCCTGCGTGGATCCTAGCAACTGCCCGTCTACATTGATAGAGTGTGGTCAGCAGCAGTCTGTCCATTAGCCAATCTCCCAGCTACTTCATTATCTAAGTGGGTTAGTTCCAGTCCTGATGCTGCTCTACACCACTAAACCACAGGTTAGATTGCCAGGAGCCTCCTCTCTGTCTCAAAGAGTGAGTCAGGTACTCTGCCCAAATATTTAACACAATTACATTCCTATTAGCATAAAAGTATTATAGAAATGCAGCTTTGAGGGCAAAGTAAGTGACACACACTGTATGTACAGACCTGCCCAACCATGCATTTGGCTCTGAAGTGGAAACTAGGCTGTTAGCTGAGACGGTGTCAGATTTCTCTGCTGTTGCCGTTCCCACTGCAGACACCCAGGATCTCACATTGATTTTTTTTTTTCAACTGTAACTCCAGGACAACTTCAAGGCTTTCAAGACCATAATGACATAATGGACGTGTTGGCCGGGGCTTGTGACATTATCGGTTTTATGTCTGCAATGCTTGGGAATTTCCGCGAAACACTATTATGCTGCGAGGCATTCTGAGCTCCAAGAATAGAGTGACTGGTTGTTCCCCTGTTGACTGTGATTGGTAAAGACGGATAAAGTATGAGTTTGATGATATTATGATATGATATTTTCCATCCCTGAGCAGACAAACAGGTAATGAGTTATAACATCAACTCAGACGACCTTGGATGTGATTTATGTGTTACGTTATGTGTGTGGTCCAAAGAGTTCAGTATGTGCGCTCATGTGATATGGTTCTATTAATGTGTTGTTTGTAAACACTGACAGCGACCTTGATAGGAGTCAACCTACTGTTAGTGAGCACTTTTTAAATAGTTGTGTGTACTGCGATTCTTAAGTTGATGATCTCATTATAATGTGTCATGTAGAAGTAGAACCAGTATAACACCACCATAACAAAACGTCAACACAAAGAAGTGTGAGGCTGTTTTAAGTACGAGCAGAGGAAAAGCATATTGATCACTAACCACCTTGAGGAGGCATGATGATTGGAGAGCACTATTGATTGATTTGCTGTCATCTGATGTCACTCTCAGCAGCCTAACAGCTGCTATATCAGTTGCTTTTTCATTAGCGTTTCTGGTATTAACATTAGGTGCTGAAACATCGTTTTGTGATGTATAGTTTGTCGATCACTTCCCCCATAATTAGTTTAGTGTGGTTGGGCTGTGTGGTGCTGTATAATGCTATTAGACTTATAGATATTTCTGTGGAGCTATCACTTAAATATCAGTCTGTTGTAGGGCGGCTGATAAATCCTTAAAAACACAATCTTGACTCTTACTTAATACAATGGCTCTGCCCCTTTTTTCTTTTAGTGATCTCAGTTGCATCAAAACAAAAGGCCCTTCTCTGTTCCTCATCAAATGACTACGTGGCATTATGTCATGTGATGCAGGCAAATAACACCCATGAGAGACAGCAGTGTATAATGGTGGGAGAACAAAACAAAAACAGGAGCGCTCCCCTTCCGCTGTCCAAAGTTGATAATTAAGTGTTCAGTTCACTGGATTAGCCAAAGGCATACATGTCCATCTGATTATTTTTGTCAATTAATGAATATCCAGAAAATGTCCTTTATCATGATAAAATTTTATTTATATAGAATTCAAAATAAAATAAATAATATTCTTTACACATGTGTTTTGCACACTTTATGTCTTTGGGTTGGAAATCTGTATGTTTTCACAGGAAAATAACAATTACAATTAAAAGATAAATATAAATACATTTGAATCTCCTATCATGTTTTTTTCTGTTGTTACCACTTTACCTTCATTATCACAGACATTATCATGACACAACTTTTTTTATTATATGTCTTTGTTGTTGTTGATATCTTTAGAAAGCTCAGAAAACTCAGAAAGCAATATCTGCTTAAGACAAAAAAAAACCTCACATTACTCATATAAAACCATATACTATACATACCTTGCAACTAATCATCATTGCAATAATGTGCAATACCCATCCATCCACTGTGCAATGCAGCTACTGAATATAGTTACATGTATTTTTCTCAATGTTGTCGATTTCAAGTATTGAAATAATTTATTTTTTTACTTTTTAGTATTTTTGTACTCGTATGTTTGCACTTTGAAGGAGTGGCTCTATAATTTCATTGTACACTCTGTTCAATGACAATAAAGGCATTCTTATTCTTTTTTCCTTTTTACAGTAATTATAGTAGAACAAGTTGAATCAATGATTCAACTTGTTTTAGTTTTATATTTTTTAAAGATCCAATGTGTAAGATTTAGGTGAAAGGGAACTATTGGCAGAAATCCTATGTGGAATAATCCTCATGATGTTTTCACTAGTTCGTTTCTTCTAAATTATATGAACTGTAGTTTTCTTTACCCCAGAAAAGGCCCTTAATATTTAAATACTTTACATTTACATCGAGGGGGTCCTCTCTACGGAGGCTGCCATGTTGTTTACATTAGACCAGACTGGACAAACTAAACACCTTTTGAGTTTTTATGACAACTGAAGCTACCACAGGTTCTTTTACATGTTTAGAAGGAGAGGGTGAGGTGAGGGGTGTTCAGCTGCAACATGCAATTTCAACACTAGACTAGAACACTAGATATCACAAAATTCTACACACTGTACCTTTAACTGAAATATTTAACATAATCTGCTCTCTTCATCACAGATATAAGTCGTTTTTTGTATGATTTAGCCTTTCATTGTGTTTTTAAAAATAATTTTATTCATCAATATATATTTTGCTGTCTTATGTGGCATAAATGTTCCAGTTATGTTTGTGATTTTTCTCATCTGCAGCAATCTGACAGGATGGCTTCACAGGAGGGGGAGGAGCCTCCTTCTAATGGAGGCCAATCAGACAGCCGTCTAAAGAGCAAGAAGCCGCCCAGCCTTGTAATAGCGATCCCCCCACCTGAAGTGATGATGTCCCACAATCCTGCAAAACAGGTGGGCTGATCTCTCTGACCTAAGCCTGTCCTTGCAACCACCAAGGCCCAACAGTTGTCTTATGAAACCAAATTTAAATTCACGAGATCCAGATTTTTATTTGGATCTGCTCCAAATTACACACACTCATAGATATCAGTCCCCTAAATATGTCAGATTTTCAAGGTTCTTGAATTATTCTATTAGGAATTGATAAAAGTGTAAAGCCCACATTCTTTGCACATCTCATCCTTCCACCACATTTAAAGAACATTGGTTCAGTCGTTTTTGCGTAATCCTGCTGACAAACTGACCAACAGCAATGAAAACATAACGTACTTGGTGGAGGTAAACATCACCGACCCAGTTGTTAGTATGTGGCTCAAAGCTGAGAGATAGGTTGATGGTTCTTTATAAGACTATCAGAGGCAGATTACAGGAAACCATTTGCAAAAAAGGACTTTTGATATCAGCTAATATCCTTTATAGCTGCTGTGCAATTATTTCACTTGGGTTAATGGACAGATACTTTGGAACAAGATGTTACTATACCTAATCGTTAGACTCGGCATGCATCCTACAAAGGAATGACAAAAGAATTTGGGCAGAACTTTGTTTTTAAAAGGTCAAAACCAAGCAAGCATGGTATATATTCCTCTGAGCCTCTGAATTTGCCATTTGTTTGGACAGGGAGGCTCTCTGTCAGCTGTCCCGCAGTTAATGGGTACAAGGCCACACATTTTTCCCCTGTGGGCCCCATGCTCAGAAAACAAATGAGCCTCACAAAGTAGCAGGTAGTCAAACTTTAATTGAGCCTGCTACAGTTAAACTCAGCCCAAAGAGCAAGTGGTGCAATAAACATGCAAATATAGTGTGAAAGCATGGCATGTAAGAAGAGGCGAACATATACTGTAGCTTTGTTATTACAAGGAAGACTGAAGAAGAAGCAGAAAGAGGCCCCAAACACTCGCACAACTAGATGGTGTTTACATTACTAAACAGAATTTAAATAATGATCATTTGGAATTTGTTTTTCTATGTATTTTTGAAAAAAGTTCTTGTTTTTATTCACTCATGTTTTATTGTTTTTAAACCTAAGGCACTAAGACCACGGAAATACTTTAGGAGATTTCCGTGGTCTTAGTCTGTGTGAGGCTGTGAGCCACATGCATTGGACATTAGAGAAAAGTAAATATATCCAAATATCTCAATACTGGAATTTAAACTTGATCCTGATGTATTGTAGCCATTAACCAGTAAAGTCCTGTAGTCCTTTGTAATGATCCAGTTCTGAATGTAATGTATGTGTCCTCTGCCTGGTTCCTAATGCTGTTGCTTTATTTAGGGTATTGTAATACTCCTACATGTACAATAGTAGAATGGCACTCAGTAGAGCGCATATACTGTCAAGGCCCAACATGTTTTTTCTTGGCACATATCCCATTCTTCCACTGGGTTTCATAGAAATCAATGTAGTTGTTATTTTGCAATGTTTTTACGACCAAGCAAACCAACCAACATAACTTCCTTGGTGGACGTAGTGAATTGTAACTCAGTTTTCCACTGCGTAGAGGCACTCTTTTATATTTATTCTACTGTAAACACAATTACTCCACTGAATATTTATTTCTCTTTACCTCTTCTCAGCCGCTGCGACCGTCTCTGAAAAAGAGTGAGAGCGGTCAAGCGTCCGCCTCCGTGTCAGACAGCATGAGTGGAGCTGCAGATCGAGGTTTCTTAACCAGAGACAGGAGGGGGAAGCTTGGTCGACAAACATCGCTGTCTCAAAGCATCCGCAGGTAAAATTGTTTATTGTTTAAGTCACTTGTATCATTGCTTTTGATCGGTTTGCTTTACATTTATGTGCAAGCCTGACAGTTTTAATTAGAGACCCACAGTAGTTACACAAGTGATATCTCTGGAACGCCATCAAGAAATCCTTCCTCATTTTGCACAAACATTCACTTGGAGTCAAGGTTTTACTCTCTTGATTTTGGTAGCCAAAGGTCACAGTGGCCTCACAAATTATTTGCATGTTTTTTTGAACGTGATATCTTAAGATGAGCTTAAGGGAATGTCTTCAAATTTGTACACACATTCACTTTGACTTTGACTAGATGAACTGATTTGATTTTGGTGTTCAAAGGTCGAAAAGTCAAGGTCACATGGCCTTGCATTATTTTGAACTCCTTAAAAAATAATGCTCATGCTTTGGATGCTCAAAGGGAATTTCATCACATCTGGCACAAATATTCACTTAGACTCATGTATGACCTCAATAGAATTGATGGCCAAAGCTCAAGCTCAGTATGACCTTACAAAGCACAGGTGCTACCTTGTGATTGCATTATCTCTGAAACACCTTAAAGGAATTATTTCACATGAAATTAGCTGTTTTTTGTTGTTGTGTTGAGCTGTGTTGCTCTAAGATCTTACAAGTTAGACTGCTGCACACATAATTCAAGCTCATACTCTATACTCTCTTCCGACGTTAGCATCATCTACCCCTGCTGTTTGACAATATGTTATTATGTGTCACTGAGGTCACTGTCTTCTTTCTGTTCCTCCAGGAATACAGCCCAGTGGTTTGGGGTAGGGGAAGACTGTGAGACCAAGCAGCAGGTATGGCACAGGAAGAGCCTGCGCCACTGCAGCCAACGCTACGGCAAGCTGAAGGCCCAGTACAGAGAGCCAGACACAGCCACCAGCTTCGACCAGGGCCTCGACTCACCAGCCACACACAAGATGCCAAAGGTACTGCCAGCAGAGGCATACAGTTACCATTACACGTTCTAATCCATGCATCGACTCTACCCATTGCATGAGTAGAATATAATATCCTACCATGGACTTGTGTTGACAAGATGAGGCACAACAGGTCTGTCCACTAAGAATTCCCATCTCCCTTCAATTTCACAACCAGCCAACAAGCAATTTTTTCAACCTGTGGGATTTTGATTTCACGTGTGACATGAATGCAACGGACAGGATCAAAAAGAAATGGTAAGAAGAGGAGACTGAGGAGAGTGGACAAGTGTGCCTGAATTTAATAAAGGGTTGTATGGTGACAGACTTGACCATCTGTGTCCCAGATGAACCATAACACTTCTCTAGTTCCATGTCAGTCACTCATCTATTATTCTTCCTCACCTTCTAATTTTTTCCTATTTACTTTTGTAATCTTGAAGACCAGTGAAAACAAAATCCATGCACACTCAGATAAAAGCTAATTTTTCTCAGTGACAGGATCATAGTCTGTAAATAAAGATGGACGACATGTCTCCACTTCCTCCCACTATCCAGATGTAAAGCCGTAGAATCACGGATAGGAACACTGTCCTCTTGCAGCGATGACGACATTTTGGAGGTTGAGTCTTTATTTGGGGGATGGAGCTGCTGTGGCGAGGTCCCACCGATACATGCGCCTGAGCAATCAAGAGTCAGTTTCAGCTGTCACTCATGATATTGCACCCTTTATATTGCAGTTAAAACCAAATGTACCAAAAAAAAGACCCCTTACATAGGTATGATGAGATCTACCTGAATGACTGAAACCATCTATGAAAATAATATGTTAACATGTACTTTAACGTTTTTGTTTATCCCCTTCCCCATGCATTAACATGGAGGAGGGGTTCATAACCTATTCAGAAACATGTGGAACACGTTTCAGGGTGAAACTCAAATATTTATATCAGCTGCACTCTTCTGTTCTGTTTTTGCTAGATTGTAGATCCCCTGGCACGGGGAAGAGCCTTCCGTTGCCCAGATGAGGTGGACAGTCGCTCCCCCAGGACACCCTACTTCACTCAGGGGGGTCCCATCACCCCGGGGGTCACCTCACTCAGCTCTTTCACCAGCCAACGGTCTGGGTACAGCCGCTTCCCCAAACGCAAGAGGGAGTCTGTCGCTCGCATGAGCATTCGAGCTGCATCCAACCTGCTGAGGGTGCGTAGGGTCACCTGAGACCCTGTGTGTTTGTTTGTTCGGATGTGTTCCAGATAAGAGAATTCAGAGAACTATCAAGGGAACTGAGTCATTTAATGTTTTTTGATTGTGATGGATGTTTTCAGTTTTTCTGTCTCCACATCTGCTGTTAAATGTTTTGTATCCTGTAAAAACAAGTAGCAGGTGTCTTAGGAATCACAGCGGATCATATTTAGAAAACTTTTAACACAATGATATTCCACAGTATAAATATCCAATATGATCTCTCATATACTTGTGTTATCATAATTTGAAAGTTAAATTTCGTTTTAAATAATATTTAAGCACAATTGAACTCATGTGACACAAACAGTTTTCAAACTTCATGGATGTTTGAAATTACTTATTAAGTGCATGTGTGTTGTCAGGGTCGTAGTGGTTTGGCGGGCTCCCAGACAGGTCGCAGTTTCCCCAGGAGGAGCTTTGCCAGGCCCAGCTGGATGGACGAGGACACAGTGGATTCTGCAGACGCATCTGAGTCGCTTTTTTTCAGCAAGGTTAGCAGCCATTTTCTTAATTTTCCTCTTTAGCATCTTCCCTCCTTGGTTCAACTGTATTTGGAATGATTTGTTTTTATTTCATGTCCTTCCTGATCCTGACTATGTCAGCTCTCACACTCACACCTTTATTCCACTTTCAACACTTATCTCCTTCTCTTCTCAGCCACTGTGACCTCAGCTAGAACCGTCACCTTTTCTCATATTTTGCCATCATTTTCTTCCACTTTCATTGATTTTAAAAATGCTTGGTCATATTTAATCTAAATCAGTTGGAGGTGGATGTTTGAGGTCTGCAAGGACGACTACAACAGAAACCGGAATCTGTCTTAACACCTATGATGCCTGGCTTTCTTATAATTATTGCTCTCCCCCATTTTCCAACTTTTCTTCTGTCTTCAACATTTTTTCGTCCTACTCTCCTGCTTCCTTTGGGACCTTAATCACATCTGCTGTTCAGGTCGATGCCCACGATGAGCTGTACTCGATGGCCGATGATGTATTTGAATCTCCACCCATATCGGCATCTTTTGGTCCCTGTGAGCAGCCTGACCAGAAGTTCCCAAGCCTGTGAGTAAATACATCATCTGCTTCAAAGTCAGCCAGCAGTCTCTCAGGAATAATGAGTGAGAGACTCAGTGTTATGAGGCAATTGTAGATCTAACTCGTGTTTCGGGTTTTCATTGAAACTCAAATGTTGCATATTTGTTGGAACTTCTAAGGATTTCAATCTGAACCTTTTTCTTTAACACGCCCACGCTAGAAGATTAGAAAATAATGACTCACCAACATCACTCACTACAGGACACTATCAAGATTATCACTCTAGTGGCCACTGTGGAAACAGCCATTGTGCAACAACTTGATTGGTAATAATACTTTGCAGTAGCATAAAATGAAAGTAGAAGAAAGAAGAAGATGGGGTGAGAAACTGAAGGTGAGATTTTAACTGTCAGTTCAACATTTGTCAACACTGGTATGTGATCGCCATCTCAAAAGATTGACTCATCTCTCAGTGGTTCAGCTCAGAAAGTACTGACATAATTGTCCTGATTTTACAAAGCGCTTTGTAAAGCCTCACACTACCAGATCATCTCAGATTCACGGGGATGAATCAGAGAGTTAAATTGACCGGAATTTCCTGTAGTCTGAGCCCAGACTACAGCCCAGACTATAAACCTCAGTGTAACATTGGAAAAATTGACAATTCTATCTGACGTACCTTTTACTGTTAATCTTTTTCCTTCCAGCTTTTTTAATTGCTTTTCATACACATGCATTTAATTCCTGCACCTCTATATTCTTTCCTTTTCCTTACCACCACTCTTGCCACATACTCTTCTTTTCCATTTCCTTTCTACAGTAGGGATATATCTCGGACGCCCAGGACGCCAACGGTATTGCCCGAAAAGAGCCAACCTCGTCGTGGGCGTCGCATCGCCTCCCAAGTCAAGCACTTTGCATTTGACAAACACAAGCGTCAGTACGGCATGGGCGTTGTGGGGAAGTGGTTGAACCGGCACTACCGACGCAGCCTCAGCAGCAATGTCCAGAAGCAGCTGGACGACTTCCACAGCCACAGGTTGGGAATGAAAACCTCCAGAGAGAAACAGAGGACAGCTATATAATAAACAATAGTAAAACAATAGTAATCTGTTGAGCAGGAAGGAAAGGTTCAGACAGATTTATTTTACATTTTCCCCACTGTATTGTGATGTGTGACACTTTTTATTGGTTGGCCATTATGTTAAACTTTGAACCCTTTTCTTCATTAACAGTGGTTTTATTTTGTACTGTAGGCCGTACTTTACCTACTGGATCACATTTGTCCATATCGTAATCACACTGCTGGCCTGCTGTACATATGGTTTTGCCCCTGTGGGGTTTGCACAACATTCTACAACTGACCTGGTGAGTTTAGCTTTAAACTGATTCCACTCTCACAAAACAATAAGAAGGAAAATCTCTGTTCATTCAGAAATAAACTGGTGTTCTATGAAATGATCAATCATTTTTTGTGTCTACTGAATTTTTGCATTTTAGAATATTTACTACCCAAGTCTTAAACCCTGCTGCATGAGAGCAATATATATTAAAATAGACGTTTAAGTGAAGTTATTTTTTATCTCGCTGTGTATTAAACAAAAAGATGAATTTAAAAGACAGATTTTGTGTATGTATATTTTCACTCTAAAATCATTCACTGACTCTGAAAGCATCAAAGGTTTTAGTACTCTTGTCATGTTCGTCAGTTACATTTCAAACCCTGTGACTCTGTCGCCCCCTGTAGGTGCTGAAGAACAAAGGCATTTATGAGAGTGTCAAGTTTATCCAGCAGGAGAACTTCTGGATCGGCCCGAGCTCTGTGAGTATCTTGCTGCTCTCAGTTTAGCTTCTGTACCACAGAAGTGTGTTTTTTTTTTATCACACGTTGACAAACACACACGACATGTTGTTATCTGCTTTGATCATTTTGTAATTTACAGTCACACATAAATAAAGGATACTCACAATTCTCTTTCACAATTCTCTTTCACAATTCTCTTTCATGTATCTGTGGGCGACACCAGACGTGTTCTGCTTTGTTGGGTGAAGTGTTACACCCTCATTATTTTGTGACTTTCTTACCTTATCACTTACAGAACATCCTGTTGCTTAACATTGCCCTCACTGAGCTCTAACCCCTCTCCTCTCCTACACTGTTACATGTGTGAATCTGTTGGGTTACTTCCCTAAAAATGTCAGGCAGGTTATCTTTTTGATATCTCTCATTTAAAGGTACAGTGTGTAGAATTGTGTGATATCTAGTGTTGAAGTGTCATGTTGCAGCTGAACACCCCTCACCTCACCCTCTCCTTCCAAACATGAACAAGAACCTGTGGTAGCCTTTAATTGTCATAAAAACTCAAAAGGTGTTTAGTTTGTCCAGTCTGGACTAATGTAAAAAACATGGCGGCCTCCGTAGAGAGGACCCCCTTGATGTCAATAATAAGTATTTAAATATAAAGGGCGTTTTCTGGGGTAAAGAAAACTACAATTCATCTAATTTAGATGAAATAAACTAGTGAAAACATCATGAGGATTATTCTACATTCAATTTCTGCCAATAGTTCCCTTTCACCTAAATCTTACACACTGGACCTTTAAACCTTTAACGTCAAGTTTCAGTATTTTCAAGCTGAACCCAGAGGTGTCTGTATTTTTTGGAACATAAGAAAATTAACACATATTTACAACTTTTTAAACAGCATTAAGGCTTAATCTACATCCACAATTAAAACATGTATAGAATCCCTTTTTACATTTTATTGTTGCCAGCTTGTATATCTTTACAATTATTTACTACTTTACCTTATAGGATGACCTGATTCACCTGGGGGCGAAGTTCTCACCATGCATCCGTCAGGACAGACAGATAGTGAGTCTGATCCAAAAAGCCAAAGACCTGGAAAAAGAGTCTGGCTGCTGCGTGCAGAATGACAACTCTGGATGTGTGCAGACCCACAGCTCCGACTGCTCTGTATGTTGTTTATCGTGCACTTTCATGTTTAGCATAATATCATTATCATCAGTAGTAGTACCTGTGGTTTTAGAAAAAACGTCATTTATTTATTTATTAACAATACACAATTTTTACACACGTCCTCATTATTTAGCATCAATTGAACTTGTCAACACATTGCTGCATCTGTGCGTCATTGTCATAGATAATGGAATAGGAATAGGAATCACAAAAAAATTCAGTTCTTCTATTTGACATCAAAGTTACAAATTGTTGTGTGTTCTTATATGAAATAATATCGGATCTTTCATTGGATAATTTTTAATTTAAATGTAACAAATAACCTTTCTCAATACACATATTTAGATAGGGTTAAGGAACATTTCTTAAAACTTAAGTTGTTTACTTGTCCGTATATTTATTATTATTGTATACATTTTATTATGGCTACTGTTCTACTGTGGTATATGATTGTGATAAATAATAAATGCTACAATTCAATATTAAAATTAATGCTGTGCATGCAGGAGACGCTGGCCACGTTTATTAAATGGAACCAGGAGGATGTGGACATCAGAAGGTCCTCAGGATCTGTCTGTCACCAGGATCCCAGGTGAGAAGTGTGCAGCATGTCATTACTCTGCCACATGAGATGAAGAACAATTCTCTTCTAAGAAATAATTGAAACCAAGTGAATCTTTTCCAACCTTCTTGTGGTCCATGTTGTTGTGATCAGAGTGTGTGAAGAACCTGCGTCTGCAGTACCTCATACGTGGCCAGATGACATCACCCAGTGGCTGGTGAGGGGACAGCGCGGCTCATTTGGAAATTCATTTTCAGCATTCACTTGGATAACGCAGCTAATTTTATTTCTATGCTACTCTCAATGTCTACAAAGAGAGATGAGATGTAAAATGTGATTGTATTTCTGTGTTTGTGCTCATTATGTCTTTAGGTGTGTACGTATCCCAAGAAGTGGAACCACACAGGTTACAGACACATGGACTGTAACATCAAGGGACGGCCATGCTGCATAGGAACTAAGGGCAGGTGAGACACGTAGACTGATATATTATTATGCCTCTGTGCTGGTGAGAGAGGCGTTATGTTTTCGGGTTGTCTGTCTGTCTGTACATCCCATTCTTGTGAACACAATATCTCAAGAACACTTTCACACACAGGTCATGGTCACGGTGACCTCATTGTCTTGTGAACCTGATTTATAACATTACATCTAAGGTGATTTTTTTTACATCTGGCATATACATTTACTTGGACTCAAGGATTACATAATTAAAATTTGGAGGTCAAATGTCTCACAAAAATGTTTTTACCTTGTGAATCAGTATCCTGAAAAAAATGCCTTGAGCGAATCCTTTTAAATTTGGAAATTGTTCACTTAATTGTTCAAGACTGAAACTGCACTGATTCATGGAGGCATACCGCTTTCAATTCTAGTTCGCATTGTGTTGTGTTCGTCAAGACCTGCAAGTGTCACCCGGATCTATTCTTTCACTTTTTTAATCATTTGCTTGCTAAACTTTCAAGCTCAGAAAATTTTAATTGTTTTTTCTTCCCAAGATGTGAGATCACTACGAGAGAGTATTGCACTTTCATGCACGGATATTTCCATGAAGATGCCACACTCTGCTCACAGGTAGTTTGTGTGCATGGGTTTTGTGTTTTGTGTGTATGCATGTGTATTGGTGTGTTAGTATATTTCTGACCTTGTGCATTACTCTTGTGCAGGTCCACTGTCTGGATGACGTGTGCGGTTTGCTGCCCTTCCTAAATCCTGATGTTCCAGATCAGTTCTACCGTCTGTGGCTCTCTCTCTTCCTCCATGCAGGGTACACACCACTTACCCCTTACAAACTTAAAAAAAGACTGAATATTTAAATAGATAGTTCTGTAAAAATGTGGATGAGGCATTTTAGTCTTTCCTTTATTTGCTGTATGTTTCCTGCTACAGTTAAACCATCTCTTATTGCTGTTATAAATGGGCTTTTTGAGCTTAGTGAAGGAAAAGTGTAATATGCAGTGATTATTAAGTGATTATAATGTTGAGGCAATGAGCTGTTTTAGTCGTTTGCTATATGAAAACAGAGTGGTTTCACTTTGTCAGCATCCTTCAGGATTCAAACCTGAAGAAATATTTCTAAATGAGCCCTCAGTGCTTGTGAGTTGTTCACTCACATGAGCACTGTAATACTTTGTGCAAATACTCTGCACATGGGAAATCCCTCAGGTTTACAGGCAGATAAAAGAGCTTTTATTAAAGAGCTTAATGAAAAAAATGTAATATAATGGGCTGAAATACCAGCAGACTGCATTGATATGTCATTTTTAGTGTCTGTGTCTGTGTGTGCGTTTGTGTGTGTCTGTGTGTGTCTGTGTGTGTCTGTGTGTGTGTGGTGAAAACTTGTCAATTAATGAGTCAAATAATGTTTGTTTTGTCTGAGTGAGTTTTATTGAAGCTTTCTGCAGAAAGGATCACAGAAGCAAGGTGGATGTTGCAAGTGTGAGCTGAGTAGATGAACATTATTCAACCAGAGTAAAGCAAAAAGGTCACTATTGATTCAGGTGACCTCAGGATCAACTTCTGCAACACCTGTTTAGACAATGGGGTCACATGCTAGACAGTGGATGCACATGCTCCATGAAAATGTCTGCTGTAAGCATGAACTAAGTAGTAAGCAAATTTCCATTACATGTGTTTGTAGGCTCTTACACTGCGTGGTGTCGGTGGTGTTCCAGATGACCATACTGAGAGACGTGGAGAAGCTGGCAGGTTGGGTCCGCATCTGCATCATTTACATCCTCAGTGGCATCACTGGAAACCTCGCCTCTGCCCTGTTCCTGCCCTACAGAGCTGAGGTGAGCTCTTCACATGAGTAAATGCACACACAGACCTTTTTTGCATAAGGAAGTGTAAAAGCCCTTACCAGGAGTTTTTAACTAGTCATGGAGAAATTCTCAATGTCTGTGGCCGGGACAGATTACCCTTGAAGTCAGAGCAAGGATTTACGACACTCAGGCTGGAAAAGCCTATGTTTAGGCGGAGGGAGAGGATACAGAAGCTGGGAAGTGCTATGCATCATGTAAACAGCTGTGTGTAATGGTGTGGTTTGATATTCCAGTCAACTTTAATGTTGGCAGGACACGACAGATGGATTCAGCTGCGGAAATCACATTTTTGTTTAGAACACGTTGATGTTGGCGTCGACCCTTACCACCAAAAGACATCTTTGTCTGTGTCTTCTGCCTGAATGGCAACTCTTTTTCATCCTAAGATATTTGTATTCTTTGGAGTTTATCTTTTTTAGTTTTGCGTCCATTGCATGTACACGCCCACTCACTTGCCCTGTGAGAAACATTCCTGCTGTATTCTCTCGTGGGACATTTTCCGGACATTTTACTAGGGGGCTGGTAGGGGAAGTTCTGGAAAAATTTGTTGTCATATTCAAGGAAAATGCGATACTCAATGCGTCATGAAGACAATGATATCTGACGTGATTATAACCAGCGTCTTTTCTCATAGATGGGTTTAGAGTTTTTCTTGTAATCACCAAACCTGTGTTACAGTGACCTTTGTCAGGATTGCCAGGAAAGCTGATTTATTCTCATTACTTAAGCACTTGCACATACGCACACACTTTCTTTGTCGCCGCTTTCTCACAGTTAAATACACACGTCATGCTGATCTTTGAGCTGGTCAAATGTCAGGGGAGGTGATCTGTGAGGGAGAGGTGAGATATTAAATTGTTTCATATTCCTTGAATCCATTTAGATCCATAAATTATCAGGCTGTTGATACATCCTCCCTTCTTCTGAACTTTGTTTATATACATATTCGTAGTTACTTATGATGTTAATATACCACATGTGTAAAAACAGCCTTTTCCATTTTGCAGGAGTTATTTTGATGACGTTTGATAATGTTGATGAAAAGGAAAAACATCTTAACACTTACAGTATATTTTTACACTGTATCCATAGTTTGTTTATGGGATGTTTTCACTCAGTGGCTTAGCTCAGCTTAGCTCAGCTCAGTTACTGGAGGTGTTTCTCTTGCTGGGGATTATTAGAGCCGACCATCTCGAGAAGTCTGGAGGGGGTTCAGGAAACACCTCATGGAGTTAAGTGAGTGGAAAAGCTCAGCTCAAGCTGACAGCACATTACGGGTTTGTACCTGAGTCATTCCAATGAAGAGAGCAAGGCAAGTGCACATTTCATCAAATGGTTTTCAGACCACAATGTAACACATTAATAAATTAAAAAAACATGTATATCCTTGGAGCCATACCTTTTAGGCGATAATAGTTTATGTCTGCACGTAGTAACCAGGGTTTCCACTGAGTCTAAAAAAGTCTAAACTCAAATCTCAATTTCAGAGTCATAAATACATTAAAATATTAATTACATATTCAACCATCATTTTGATAAAATCTAATTAAAACCTCAGCTTTTGTTCCTTTTCAGAATATTTGCTGCATTGAAGAAACAAATGGGAACTTTGTGATTATCAGAATAAAAGATTACAATGGGAGAAATGTTTTATTGTTAAGTTCAGCTGTCAGTTTGGTTTAAACGTGGAGCAATCAGTCCTCTCTGTATACAATATTAAGTGTGTGTTGTGTGCATCAACTGCAGTTCCTTACTATCTTCGATGATGTAGGTCTGTATGTGCTTTTAAAACACTCTTGACAGTTGATGTGGTGATTGTAAATGACTCAACGATAAACTGATTAGATTTTGGTGGTCAAAGGTCAAGGTGATCTCACAAACAGATTCACTAGGACTCAAGGATTAAATAATGGATTTTGGTAGCCAAGGGTCCAGGTCACGGTGGCCTTATATGTGGTTTATGTGTTTCTTGAACATGATTTCTTAAGATCAGCTTGAGGGAATGTCTTCAAATTTGATAAACTTTCACTTGGACATGTATTGCTAGTAGAAGTGTAATTTTTTCTAATTCAATGTGTAAGTTTGCCAAAAACAACCTGCTGATTTGGTGATACAAACAACCATGTGAAAAGAACACAGTCTGGATTACCTACTTTCTACTGGCACGGCTGTTGTCTTTATTGTGTCTGTAAAGCTCACTTTCCCTATTAACAGATTAGCCTAATGCCATTGTACAGGTTCGAAAGGCCACAGCTACAGAGTTTAGTAGAAGGGATTAGTTTTTTTTTCTTCTTCTAAACAAAGACAATTGTTGCAAAGATTAGATTTGTTGGTTGGCACTTCCAGTCTGTACGCCTGAACAACCACAAGAGGCTCTACTTTAATTATTTAATTTTCTAAGTTCACAAGTGCATTTAGAGTGACTCCAAATCCACTTTTTAATGGCTTGGCACATGGTACAAAAGGGTTTTACTTAGATTTTTATTTATTGATGGATGTGTTTCAAGGTGTGACATACAGTACACCAATCAGAGTATCAACTCTTATTCCCTTTAAAAGCCAGATGAGTTGACACCTTTGCAGATTGCTATTGTGATCTGCTCATCTGTTAAAACCCGGGTTGTCAATCCTGGAAGAGATAGTAGGAGCAGGCTACACTTTGAAAAAATGCTAAATGCATTGGTAGGTTGCATCCAATACATTCCACCCAGCCCCCCAATTGGCCCTCTCGTCAAAGCTATGCCCCGAAAATGAATGAACTGACACTGCCTGTCAACTTCTAGAAGCTGACTTTACTGTGACTCTGACTCTTCTGGCTATCGTCTCTGCTTCAACGGTGTACGTCTCTCCGGCTGAAGACTCCAATCATGTACAGTGAGAACAGGTACGGGAGGAGGCAACGTGTATGCATGTTGTTCGACCACCTATGATAGTGCATATAGCTATCAATCCGTCCTTAAAATAACATCGAAATACTGTGCCACTGAGTTCAGACCATGGTCAACCATTTGGGTGCATTTGCTATCTATACCTGAGAGCCGGACAGGAAAAACGGAAATACATGTCAGTCCGATACTACGAAAGATACGCGTTGTGCATTGTGTAGTATAGGCCCTTAAAGGTTCATTCTTCCTCACCTTTGAAAGAGTTGTTCTATCATGTAAGGGATTTACATTGACAGAAAAGTATATTTTGTTTGCCTTCTCTATCTGCATTGAGACATCTACTATCTTCTTCATAAGCCATCCCCAGCTGCTCTCATCTGCACGGTAAGACATGAGGTGACGCACCTTGACGTGAGAGACAGAAATCCCACCGCACAGTCTTCCTTAGCACCAACCAGCTCACAGATCGTCACACACCAGGAATAACCGGAGGAAGCACGTGTGAGGCACAACTAAGGATTTAAGTGGATTATCCTTTAACTGTTAAGTAAAGGAGACCCTGTGGCTCTAGCATCCATGACTCAAACAGCAGCTGTGACTGGCATCATTATAATTCACAGATCGTAAGAATAATTACAGTACAGCAAACTTGAGTTTCTATATTCTTAAAACCTGACTGAGTCTTTAAACATAAAGAAAAGCCTTTGTGAGTGAGCACTGTTTGGAAATGTGAGCTGAGAAGAGGCTGAACTGTTGTTACCTGGTTATATATGACATTAATTCTCCTCAATAAAGGATATACATTTTTCATTAATTAAAAGTATGTATTATCTTTACATTATAGTATTGTAGTGTACAAATATTCATCCTGAAGTAACATTCCAAAAGTTAATCATTACTAACAGGTAGTGACAGGCTCTGCCTTTCCAATATTTTCCATCTACTCTAATAGAGTGATGACTAGCGCATTAGGAACGTGTCAGCCTGTGTGTCTGGGATGTATGGGTGCACTGCGGAGCCATGCTCTTCTCTGTTCTCCAAGTTTAATATCTTCACAGATTAGCCATCTGTTTAAGACCAGGCCAAGCCTCCAAACTCAGCCTTGACGTCACTCTAATCTGCTCACCTTTACTGCCTGACCCAGGGCTCGTATCACACCTCTACCCAAGAGTGTATGTCTTCATGTGCAAGCACGGACAACATCAAGCTTCATTCAATACATTAAGACAGACTTTTCACAAAACCTGTAATCAGTGTGATGATTCTGAGACGGACAACATCACCCTACATTCATTATTAACAGTTGATATGGTTTTCCAAGGTCAGGTTTATTTATCCTAGCGATGGTCACCATGAGTCGCTTTCACTAACAGTCATCTAAAATAGTTGTTTATTTTTTTCCCCCCAATATTATGATAATCAGGTCAAGATGTGGTAATGTGTGTGTATTTATTCGAACACATCGTTGGTCTAATGGTCACTGAATTTTCCGCTCACGCTTCACTTCTCTCATTATCATTCATCACAGAACAAATCGTAGCTGTGTGAAAGACACAAATCATGTCAATCTGTCCTGCAAAACATTTCTCATGTTTAATACGAACACAGTTTTTCTCTGTGGTAATGTGTACCTCTAAAAACATACATACGTTGTAATCTAACATAATACAATACAACAGTGATTGAAGAAAACGCCATGTGAACTAAAATCTACTGTATCATCTGCCATAGGGAGTAGTGTTCAATGTTTAGAACAGTGGTGGAGGAAGTACTGAAACCAAGTGAAAGTAACACATGAACTTCTCTAATTGAGTAAACATAAGTACTTGCTTTTAAATGCACACTATTAAAAGTAAGAAAACTTTGAATAACCTATTTCCTCATGCAACAGTCAACTACATCATGAACTGTACCTGCTGCATATTACGTTAATACTAGAAAAACAGAGACTCTGTCATATCAATAAAGAATGGTGTAAATGGTGCAGCTGGAAACACATCAGAGATCATGTGTGTCAAGCGTGTCCAGTGCTCGATCATACGTGTAAGTCAGTTTGCAGGGTGTTTTCTAGTGGCTATAGAATAATTAAATGATAATAATACATTTTATGTCATTAAGCCTTGACATAAAGAAGAACTCCCTTAGATTCCTCTCTTGACTAAAAACCAACCAGTCCTCTTTTTTAACTCTGTTTTAAACTTAATGGATGTGATAATATGAAAATGTTCTGCTTGTTTTTCTCCATCCAGGTGGGTCCAGCAGGGTCTCAGTTTGGTCTCCTCGCCTGCCTGTTTGTCGAGTTGTTTCAAGGCTGGCAGATGCTGGAGAAGCCGTGGAAGGCCTTCTTCAAGCTGTTGGGTATTGTCCTCTTTCTCTTCCTGTGCGGCCTCCTGCCGTGGATCGATAACATTGCTCACATCTTTGGCTTTATCAGCGGCTTGCTGCTCTCCTTCGCCTTCCTGCCTTACGTCACCTTCGGCACGTTCGACATGTACCGGAAACGCATCCTCATCGTCGTCTCGATGCTGGCCTACATCGGGCTGTTCTCGTCCCTTATCGTTTGGTTTTACATTTACCCCATTAACTGGCACTGGCTGGAGCATCTCACCTGCCTGCCCTTCACAAGCAAGTTCTGTGAAAAGTACGATATAGACCATGACATTGACGATGTGGTGCACTAGTCATAAGGCTCTTGATGCTGTCTAATGCAGGCCCACTAGTTTCTAGCCAATGTCCAGAGCAGTTGATTATTCTCAACACATTGCAATCATGTTTTTTACTCTCTCACTAAAAGACCAGGTCCAAGTCCACGAGAATGGAAACTGAATCAGTCTCCTCTTGTCAGCCTGCTGATGTGATTACTTCTGTACATTTTTAAACCTCAGTCAAGTCTACCATTTCAATTTGCTAATGAGCTTGAAGATTCCCGGAACTGACAGGCAAAGATATTCAGGGTGTCAAAGCTGCATGGAACTGGATGGACCAATAGGAAGAGATCAACAGGATGGACAGACTGTCTTCTTTCATCCATCCATCAGTTATCTGTCCTGTAATGATACATCAAAATACATGGAAAGAAGCTAAATAAAAGAATACATGGTCATCTCTGGTCACCTTTACCTTTAATTCAATGGACGGTAAGAAAAAGAGATAAAGGAAGAGCGATGTCATAATTAGGTTTGAGATAAATCAGTTTCCCCCCCTCAGTGACTCTAGTTGTCAGTACCACATCAACACATTTGGCATGGCGTCGGGTGGAGAGGTTGAATTAGTCCAGTGTGTCTCAACGAACAGAAACAGCCCCACACTGGAGAACCACAGTTCTTGGGCTGGTACGTCTCCATCACTTCATACATGATCAGTGTGAAGACAAAGAGGACAACACTATGAAGACCATCACTCACTGCTGCTGCCCCTCCTCGTTTTCATCAGAGTCAACGCTGTATTTTAATCTCTCCTTTTGTGCCTATGCACTCAGCATGTCAATATTCACTGGAGTAATGAAACGTTCTGCTACATGTAACAAGTATTAACTGTGCAGCTGGAATTATCAGAAATATAACTAAGGCAAGATTTCTATCTAAACCCACTAGTTGCCTTAAACAGACTTTGCCATATTAGATGCTTGGTTGTTCTTCAGTATACAGCTTGTGATCAGCCTCCTGAATGATGACGAACACGTTTCTGACTTGAATCTACCAAAGCAACTTCACATGCTGCTTGTGTTTGCATGTTGTTTTTCCACAGTCACTTTTTTTATGTACGTCACCAACACCAACAAAACATTTTCAGTCTTCAGCTCTTCTGTAAACGCTGCGGTGCCTCAAGCATTTTGTAGATTTATTTTAAAAGTCTGAAAGCAATATTTATTCTATAAGAGCAGTTCCCTAAACCAGGTGGATCAGAGCAGGTTTTCCTACCATAGTTTTTCAACCTAAACTCTTTTCACATTTTTACTAACGCTCTCTTTGACAAAAACAATGAGACAAATTACTTACATTGCAATGTTTCCATACACTTAAAATTTTCTTTAAACCTCAGACAGACAAATTCAATGGTTGCTCATTTGTTTCTAAATCACTTTCTAACCTATTTATTGAAATTTAAATGTCACTAACTGACCTGCCTGTCTGTGCGCACCCTGCACTCACTGCATATGACCGGAGTCTTCAGCGGGAGACATAAATGGCTAAAACAGAGATGATCACCACAAGTTAGCAAGCGAGTCACAGAAAAGTTGTTTTCTAGCAGTTGTCAGTCCACGTTCACATGTTTTGGGGGCGTATCTCTGAAGAGACTGTTCCCTGGCTGTGGACATGATCTTGTTGTTTTGTTGTGGAGGATTCTGGCATGTTCTGATGCCTGTTGTTGGAAATGGAAAGCCACGATAATGACTGTTGTGTGGAGGATTATGTGAGGTACTAAATGAGATTATGTGAGTTGGATTAAGGGGCTGACTCACTCATAATCTGGTGTTGAAAACATGAGTTTGTTGGACAATTTGAATATATTTAACTACTTTAAACACCACTATGTTCTGAGGATAAAGGTCAAACTGTTTTAAGTCTGTGCTCATATAGTAAGTGTGACAATGATATCCACTTCTTTCTGTGCCTTTTGACATGTGAGTGTGTGAATGTAATGTTTGCAACAACTCACATCTTCAACCATGACAGTACTCAGCAGTTACACTACTGTGCCTGCGTCTGCATTGGGACCAAATCATTTCACCCCTTTTTCTATTTTAATGGAATAAAAAGGGAAATTTAATTGTTAAATGAAGTCCAGGGCATGGTAATGGTACTTTTCTGTTTTGCTTCAGTTTTTTTATGGGAAAATCTATGTGTGCTAAAGGGATTCTGTCAAAATAAAAGCCCCCCTGGTAATAATAAGGTATGTGTGTCTCTGTGTGAAGCTTAATTTTGTCCGTCATCCATTTCTCTACCCATTTTAACTATTGAAGCCACACCAGTGAGAGCCTTCATACTGAAAGAGAATTTAAATAAGTGCAAGTTATGTTTTATGCATCTATAAAAATAGTATATATGAAACCATAACATAAACACCTTACTTTCTGTCACCAACATAAAAAGTAAGATCATATGATATGATGAAACGTTTCCACGGAAAACCTAAATTTAAAATTAAAACTGGAACATCAGCAGTTCCACGATGACAGTGCAAACTCCATCTGCTGATGAAGACCCTGTTATGGGACTGAAAGCTCCAGAACAGCTGCTTAATGGATCTTGTGGATCTCTACAATGATTGTAATACGACTGTGCTGCCAGTAGATGTTAAATAAAAAAGACCATAGAGCAGATGTGCTAAAAAATAAAAATCTTTATTCTTTTCAGAGCATAACATAGATAAAAAAAATAAAAATTCAAGACTGGGAGGCAGAGGTGGTACACACACACACACACACAAAAACAGACAAACAAAGAGTGGGGAAAAGACAGAAGAGGAAAAATGGATGACGAGAGGAAAATAAAGGAGAGATAATATATTTTCATATACAGTATTTAGGATGTCTAAAATAAGTTATATTCCTTACATTGTATTACAGGCTTTATGTTGCTCTATAAAATACATGAAAGTACATTACATGCCGTACAACCCTTACAAGCTTTTCACTTAAATTCTTCCACTGTTCAAGTTCTTTACTCAAGCTCGTGCTGATATCCCTCCATCTGTTTCCATGGTTACTGACAGTGGATGGGTTACCCTGGCATGTTACTGTGTAGTTGTATAATGGCTATACATGCTTTAAAAGGCATAATGTTACAATGTTAATGAAAACATTAACAATGGATATATACCAGTTTTATTAAGCAAAAATGATCCTTGTGACTTCATATATAAATACCATGTTATAGACTGGTTAAATAAAAAAACAAGGCAGCTCGTTCTAGTGAATATGATGATAAATGTCCAGCATTTATCATAACAAAGAAAATAATTTCATGTAAAAACATGCTGAGAACTGAAATCAGGGTTTATATTCTTGCTGCAATGATTTGGTTTCTATGTCCTAGATCGACTAAAAAGCAAAGAAAGATTTTGTTTTGTTGTATTTTCCGAAGACTTTTCCTGACAGCTGTACCAAGCAGTTGGACGGCAGCTTTCTGTTCTCAGCTCTGTGCAGACTCCCAGTGAGAACACACACCACACTGTGCTGAACAAGTCTCTCACAGTAACGATCACAACCACTGTGTCCATCGCTCACGAACAACATGGCTCAAGCATCCCCTCATCCTGTTCCCACGAGGATAACCACAGGTGAATCCACAAGACGTCACATATGACCTCAGCACCCGCTGTTACGTCGCATGAAGGCATGGCCCCTGACCGGGTACAACATCTCGATGAACGTGAGGGGCCCCACCGTGATCTTACTGGGGCCCTGCACCTTGAAACCCGACTTCTGGTAGAAGGGAACTAGGAAGTCCTCGCACATGAGCACGGCACGGCGGACATAGGGCAGGCACCTGAGGTACTGCAGGTAGCGCCACATCAGGATGGATCCTTTGCCCTGCTGACGGAAGGTCCGGTGGACAGCCAGTACGTGAATGTGCACTGTGGGGCCGTGAGGCTTATGGAGAGTCAGAGCCTCCTGAAATGTAGATAAGGAGAACAGAGTTGTGAGATTATTTATATATGGTGTTGTTATGTAATGTGTTGGACTTGAAAAGAAATGTTTAAAGGGATAGTTCACCCAAAAAGTAATATTCACTCATTATCTACTCACCACTATGCCAATGGAGGTGTGAGTGAAGTGTTTGAGGGGTAAACAGTGTTGCAGCCAAATCCAATATAATTGATAGTATGACAGAAAAAAAAACATTACATGCCTCCATACTGCTCCTGTGGTGTCATCATAATCAACGTGAAACAAGATCATTTCCACCATGTTTTAAGCCTAACTGGATCACACAGGACATTTAGGCTAACAATCCTTTCAAGTCAAATTGGAATGTTGGGGCTTACGGACACTTGGATGACACCACAGGAGCAGTGTGGAGACAGAAATGGCCATTTACTTCACTTGTATTGCAACGCTGTTTACCCCTGAGTGTTTTATGGACTCAAACATTTCACCCACCCCTCAATCAACATGGTGTTGAGTAGATAATGAGTGATTTTTCACTTTTTTTGGTGAACTGTCCCTTTAAGGCTGCCCCAGGAAATTTGGAAATGAAATATTAAAAACCAGAAAAACATTTGAAAACAAAAGACTGAAAAAGAATCTATATCATAATCTATTTAATGTACAGCTATAATATTAACAAATTGTACTTGAAGTATCAAAAGTAAAAGCTCCACAGAAGAAAAGCCACTGTCAGTGTTATAATATTATAGATTTTGAATGATCATCATTGATGCATTCGTAAAAAATACCTGTTACCAATATATCAGCTGATGAATCTGATTTGCAATGATTCCTAAGATGTCATTATCCAACCCTTTGTGAAAAAGAAAAGCAATTGAGGCTCGATATTTTACAGTTTTTATTAATAACTATATTTATATTTATTTTATATAAATTACATCTTTTTTACGTAAAATTGAAACATAATCTTCATTGTTTATTCTGTAAAGTAAAAGTTTTCATATCATTAACACTGAAAGGCTAATATCAGCTAATCCTATCAGACTATTTCACTGACTAAGTTTGCTGGACATTACACTTAATTTTTTTTTTCTTTCTCACACTTCAATATTATTTTCCATGCCACTCATTTTTGCATGCAGGGCCTCAAGAGTACACCACCCTGCCCTTTACTGCATGTTGTGTGAAATATACTTGAATTTTTGTACTTTGTACTTTTGTGACCTGACTTGGTGCACCATGTTGCACAAAACTGCTCAAGCCTTTTTATTCTAAGCTTTTCCCAACCACTCTGCAAGTGATATTTGACTCACAGGCCCTAATGTTAAACTTATTGAATTTCCGAATACATTCTACCATAGAAATGCACTTAAAACTCTGCTGTTAATCTATTGAACCTTGTCATGTATTTTCCCTGGTCAGCCAGCCTGCAGGTAAATCACCAGGTGTTCTCACCATGGTAAGCCTCTCCTGGTCCCACAGAGAGCCAATGATAAAAGCCACCAGACGTCCCTCCTCGAACCAGCCAAGAGACAGCTCTGGACACAGGGTGAGGAAGTGACGCACCTCGTCTAGGTGGAGGGGGCACTCACCAGACACTGAGATGAAGGCTGTGTGGAGGGGGAGGGGGAGGAGGAGGAGGAGAGTCAGTGATCACAACCTAAACTAAAATCCCTGGAAGTGAGCAGGATGTTTTCTACTATACTATCAAATATATAGATTTTCATAAGGGAAATCGGTCATTCAGCATTCTAACTTAATGGTGTTTGTGGGCCACAACAAGTAAATGGAAAATGTGAATAGTCAAAGAGAGAAGTTTAAATCATCTGGAAATGTAAATTGTGTTCATGTAATATGGAGGATAGACCCATTATCAGAGAGTTGCAGTTATTCATTTATAATCAAACATGTTGCAGGCTACTGATACACTGAATGAGTTGATGAGTGGATCAGTGAATGAATGAATCTTCCCTGTGTGCGTAATTGCGCTTAACACCTGTCCTCAAGTAAACGTCAAAGTCATATCAAGTGATAAATAACAGAGCAAAATAAAATTCAAACCGTCCTCTTACCTTCTCTCTCTATCTCGAACACGCTGATTGCATCCTCCGGACTGAGGGAGCGGAACTCGCTGGCCGGTAGCGTATGGCGGCGGCCCCGAGGCCCCGGAGAGGGCATGTGGAGCGCCCTCATGAAAGGCAGCGCGCTCACCACTGACATTGTCTTTTTTTTCTCTTCAAAACGCTGTAAACGTGAATTTAAAAAAGAAATACAAAGATTTTAATCTATTACTGTCTGCTGGTTTTTCCTATAAGAAGAAACGTCAGCTCCTCCAACAGTTTGACCGGTGCGTAACTGGCTGCCCAGCGCGTAAAGACTGAGCGCAGAAAGTCGCACGTTCAGTATTTATAGCCTCGGTGCGCGCGGGGCTGGTTGGGTTATAATCCTGGAGCGAGCTGGATGACCACACCATGCACGCCACTCCCCCGTGAGCAGGTTAAACAACAATCCACATATTTAGCTGGGGTCAGGAGGGGTGTTTGTGTGTTGAGGATGATCCTCGTCATGCCACCATCAGACCCACAGATTAAGATTTTACTGATCATGTGTTGGAGTTCCCACAACAACAAATCACCAGGTTATTATCATGAGCCTGACTCCACCTGATAACACTGAATAAAAGGACTCACCTGGGTGACAGAGTTGGACCAGTCATTCTCAGATAGTTTGAATTATTCTGATTGATTAACTACAATAATGTCAGTATTGATTAATGATGTTGGGGGAAGGGGGGTGCATATCTTACTGGATTTACCACTTCATGTGATTTTCCAACAGGAGACTTTCCATTGCTCATTTAAGTCGAGTTCCCGCTTTTCCACACTTTATTTTCCAGACGATCTGTAAGAGGATTAGGGCATAGGATGTGTAGGAATTTGTTTGTCACCTCTTCAGTGTATAAACAAGCTATGTTAAGAATCTCAGAGTAGCATTTTTGATCCGTGGACATATAGTCTATGTCTCCCACTTTTTAGAATCTCACACAACAGCAGCAGGTCCAACTGATTCACTGTGTTTTTAGGAGACAAGTGAGAGTTTGAGTCAATGCTAACTGACACTAAGCAGGTGAACTTTGTGTAAGGGTCACAAGACTGGAAATAATCTCCATCCCAGATAAACACGAAGCTTTGAAAAACGTGCAAAGCCTTTCCTGCATGGTGCACACTTTCATTTCTGTCAGGAATCCTAATATGTTTCATCGGTTTGCCCCAGAGAAATCGAAGTTGTGAGTGTTCATATATACAGTAAATCAACAGGCCTTCAATAAACTGACAAAACCACAGATAGTTAATGTGTTTACCTCAAATAAAGAGACATGTTTTCCACATGGATCATTGCTAATTATCATAATCACACTGGGAGTAAACCATCATTTCATTTTCTTTAATGAAACATCCCAAGAAGAAACTTTCTGTCCACACATGTTGCTTTACAGTCTTCATGACTGGAGAAAATTGTCTCCAGACATTTTCCAGAGTTTTCTATTCACACAAGAACACAGTGTGAGATGGTCCCAGTCAGACACATTCACAACAACAGGAAAATATTCTGTTCATCCATGCAAGGGGCGGCAGAAATCAGTGTTTTTGTTTGATCACCAAAACCTCTCTAATCTCATTGTCTTTCCAAGTTGACATCTTTGTCTGTGTCTTCCGTGTGTGACACTTCTTTCTCCTCCTGAGATCTCGCTTGCTGAGAATATTCCTGCTTTATTCTCACATGCATTTACTTGGTCCTTCTCCGAACAGGGGGTGACAGAATAAGTTCTGGATACAGTCTGGCGAGTTTATGTTCTCACATAAAGCCCCTCTGGAAAATCTAAGGGTCTGTTAGCACTAATGAGTTCTGTCACAGAGACAAGAGTCTCATGTAGTGAAGACTTTTTCTCTTTTGTTTATTTAATAAAAACTTTACCATTACTTGTGTTATTATTATTTTTGTGAAGTTAGTGTGTTTTCTCTACTAAATACACACTTGTGCTTTACATGTGCTGTCAACCACACATCTGATTTCATACTGCCAGTTAAAAACATATGTATATATATATATATACTGCTTTTATATGCTTTATTTATTCTCCTTATTATTATTATTGTGTGTAGTGTGTGTTCTCTTCTATATATACACTTACTTTGCTTTATTTTTAAAATTATTATGATGATGTTTTCTCTTTTCTCTTACATATACACTGTACATAGACTTTACACGTGCTTTCGACCACATACCTGAGTTGACAGTGCCGCTCAGTGGTGAGAGATGGTCCTGCGTGATGACGCTGCCACACTGCGCTGGTGACGCACAGCACGTTCGTTACGCAGCGACGTAAACACGTGCTGCCTCCACTGTTTCTTGTGTCCACCGTCATCCTCGCGCCCCAGCAGCATCACTCCCTGACAACAGCAGCGATGGCGGAGCCCGTAGCATCGGATGCGGCAGCATCCCCGAGCCCGGGCCTCTCTCCCGCAGCCAGCCCGGTCTCCGAGCCTCCATCCCTGGCTCTCTCCCCTACGGCTGACGGCTCCCAGCGGCTGCTTTTCTCCCACGACCTGGTCTCCGGGCGGTACCGCGGCTCAGTTCGGTTCGGCCTCGTACGGATGATCCACGGCGAAGAGGAATTTAACTCCGACTCGGACCTCGACGACGGCGGGGGGAGACGCGGCGATGGCGGTGGCGGCGGTGGAGGAGGTGGCGGAGGAGGACGAGCCCCATGTGGTTCGGACACTGAGAGCGCTGTGGACTCCCCGAGTCAGCCGCTCGGCAGGGGCTTCGTCCGCGTCCAGTGGTACCCCGAGGGAGGGAAGCAGGACATCAGGGAGACAAAGGTACCACGCTGATGTGTTCACGCTGAGGCCGCTGCTCTCACTGTCTCCTGGGCGCAGGACAGCTGTTAGCCACTCGGGGATAAGGTTCATCTAATTCGTCTGCCGTAAAACACACAACCCAGCCGGCTAACTGGCTAGCATCCAGGGGCGCATGCTAACTAGCGGTATAGCTCATAGCCCTCATGTCATGGAGCTGGAGCAGGCTAATCAGGCTGGTTCCACCTGACTGCCTGCAGCTAGCCGCTCTCACGTTAGCTCCACCCGGCTGACAGAGCTGTCTGCTCCGGGGATGGAGCTCCAGGCTGTAGCAGGTGCAGCTCTCTGCTGTCTACCACACACATGCTGGGGTTAGCTCCTCCTGGATTCAGTGTGGGAGCGGGGAGTGACTCTCCCTGAGAATATTGTTAAAGACTTTAAATCATAAAATTGACTAATTACCACGAACCTAACATCTCAACTTCACCTTCATCCTATTTCAATATTCATCTCAACCTGCCACCTGACCTGTGAGCCTGCAGGACAGAGTGCTCAGATTGATCAGAAATGTCTGCAAATGATTTTCAGCTGAAATCAGCCTGAAGCACATTCCAGTAGCTAATGATTCTGAGGATATTTGCAGCTTTCAGCTTGTTAGCGATGATCTGCTGCTGTTTGTTATACTTACAGTGTGTTTGGGTGTAGGTGGATGGCTTTTAAAATATGAGTTGTCTGTTTTATCCCACACCCAAAAGTATTTATCTTACTGTCATGGAAGACAAACAAAATGTTTAGATTCAGCAACTTTGGTTTAACAAACTCTGAAAAATGCAAATAGTGTATAGGAGTGTTAAGTATTAAAAGTGTATATGTCTCAGAATGCATTTAGGGTTCAGGGTTGTTTCTGATAAGAGACGGCTGTTGTTCATGGTAGTTTGTCACTGTCATCTTGTTCTACAGTCACATAAGTCTGATTGTACGTTTGGTAAAGAAATGGGGAATCCTGGCGCCCTGTGAATTCTCTGCCACTTCTCTAGATTTCTCCCGGGCTTTGTGGAAAAGAGGAGTGAGTTTGAAGGATCTGGAACAAGCTCATATCAGCTCATTGTAGAGACACAGGACCAGAAGGAGCCTGGTTCATGGCCCATGTTGCTGAGTTGCTTTGTCCTCTTGGCTCTATGAGTAAAGTTCTGGCCAGAGCTTCATTCAACCTTCGTCACAACAAATACTCACAAACAATGACACGGTTGTTTCGACAGAACGTGGACAGTTTTATGCTGCGTCATTACTAGTTTGAGCCCCCAAAGGATCTAGTGTGTGCCAGTGTGCACAGGTGTGGAGTTAACTCTGTAGTTCTGTCGTCATTCTCTCCTTTGCTTATCTCTGTGCACCACATGTCCCGTGTAGACAGACTTCATCTTAGTTTTTCCAAAAGCACGGTGATGATTCTGATGAATAATTCAGGATTACTTCCTGCAGTAATCTTGCAGTGATAAGTGTGTTTAAAACAGGTGTGTAAAATCGGCTGCACTATCTCTTGAGAAAAATAAAACTTGCATTTTCCCTACAAAACCTAAGATTGAAGTTTAGAGCAACAGCAGCAGCCATAAGATTAAATTAAAAAGTTTTGGTATGGCTAGTGATATCTAGTGTTGAAATTGCATGTTGCAGCGGAACACCCCTCACCTCGCCCTCCCCTTCTAAACATGTAAAAGAACCTGTGGTAGCCTTTAATTGTCATAAAAACTCAAAAGGTGTTTAGTTTGTCCAGTCTGGACTAATGTAAGAAACATGGCGGCCTCCATAGAGAGGACCCCTTGATGTAAATATAAAGTATTTAAATATAAAGGACCTTTTCTGTGGTAAAGAAAACTACGATTCATACAATTTAGAAGAAACAAACTAGTGAAAACATCATGAGGATTATTCCACATTCAATTTCTGCCAATAGTTCCCTTTCACCTAAATCTTACACACTAGACCTTTAAGGAGGTGACACCAGGTGGCTTCATGAAGATCTAAGTTTCACCCTTATTGTGTTTTTACAACTAATGAGATAAAGATTGAAACTAATCAAAGTGGCCCTTAATGAACACACTGAACATTTTGCCCACTTGTATTTTTAGTGTTTCAAAAGCCATTGGACCAAATGTGGCTGAAGTTTATCTGCGTTTTACACACCCTGTACAAACGGTTACATCAGTACAACCCAGGGCACACCCTCTTTGAGTGTGAACACTTTGAGACAGCAGCACACAACACAGGGCAAATATGAATATATAGAGACATGATCGTGTAGGAACAAAGACGCTGCCTCTGCCTCGTCATTGATTGTAGAACAAGGGGATTATATTCCTGACTGACCTTAAGTCTACTCACAGCCGCTGCAGGGTTTTAGAAGGACTAATGCTGCTCTCCACTACACACTGTCTCCATACATCTACCTGGCACTGTAAAAGATCTCCTAGAGAATTGAGACATGCATATTAGTGATGTTAGTCAGGTAGGAACATACAGTTCCTTCAGCATCATGTGGAGAAATACCTGAGTTAAGAGTACATTAAACATCACATAAGTGGGCTAGCATGACATTTAGCAGCTAAAGGTGTTGATGAAGTGCTCTTTAACATGCAGCACATGTAGCACAGGATTTTCTGTACTTCAGTGCATCGCAGTGCTTCGGTTGCTATGGCACCCGATCAGATTTTTTTTTTCACAACTTGGATTTTGATTTTTTTTTATGTTTTCAGTCATTTATATTATTTTGAAATGTTTTGATAAGCTTATTAATTATACTAATGATAGTTTGTACCTTTATACCAGGGAGGTTATATTTTTATCAGCGTTTGTTTCTGTTCGTTAGCAACATTACACAAAAACTACTGGACGGATTAACTCAAAACTTGGTGGAAGGATAAGATGTTGGTTAGGGAAGAAGCATTACATTTCAGACCTTGCAACATATGAACTTCTAAAGAAATAATACAGAGATCTTGATGAAATCAGACACCCATGGGCGCACAGTTAAGTACCATAAATATACGGAAACGCCCAGTACACATGGTGTGTATATGCTGTGTTAGGTCGCAGGGGTCGAGGTGAGCTCTGACGCTCTGGGAGTGTAGGGGTGGAGGAGGAGGCTGGTGTGGTAAAATGATGACAGGGTGGGTGCAGCGAGACCCTCTGCTGCTGACTGCCCTGCAGACAAAGATGAGGTGAAGAGGGAGGAGAAGTGAGGAAGGAGGGGAAAGACCTGTACAGTGGATGGTAAAGATGGAGAAAGCAAGTATCGAGAACCAATTTAAATATCACCTTGATGTCAAAACCAAGAGGAGAACGTAAAATGAAATGAAACCACAATCCCGATTGGAAAGGAGGTTTAGAGACCGGCAGACAGTTCAGTACCAGATGGCTGTTATGGTAATGTGCAGGCTCTCAGTCATAGAAATGCTAAAGTCCCACCTTCTGCTCTCTAATCCATTTTAAATTCCCAGTCCACTATGGCTTGCTGTCGTAGAGTGAAATCAGAGCTTTGCTGCCGTTTCAGTGCAATCAGGTTTGTACTCGTAAAGCTGCACATGCCTCAATACCTCCACCCCTGTCCGTTTGTTGGTTGGTTTGCTTGTAACTTAGATTACACAGAAACAACTAGATTGATTACCTCAGAACTTGGTGGAAGGCTGCGTCACGGAAGAACCCATCCAATATTTTAGATTTGGTCAGGGGTTGAATCCAGGAATTTGTATTGTTTGAGATTCTTCCACATTTTCACAGTTTTATCAGGGAATAATTCATGGATCATAACAAACAAAAATCCGGTACATTTAGTGGACTGATATCTCTGAGCGTTTGCAATGTGGTGCAGCTCCGTCTGAATTTAAGGGGAGTGTTGAGCGTTGGCAGAGCTATTCGCTCTTTTCATTTTTTTGCACTTGCAGGTTATTGACCCCACTGTCACTGTTTAGGGGAAAATCATCACAGTTTGTAGCCATGTCACATTGTTCAGTAAAAACAAAAAGGCTTGGAGAGTTGATTTTGTTTCTCATGAGGTTTTATTGTCTGTGTCTGCACATCAATGCTTTATGAGGTGAGCAGGAGGCTCCTGTGGTTTTACTGCTTTTATCTTTGTCTTTTTTATCGTGCTGGAAGTCTTTACTTTATTTTACAGACACGACCTGGTCAATAGTTTGACTTTAAAACCAACCAGTTAGTTAGGTAAGCTTTGTGTGCAGTTCAATAAAACAGTCAGAACAGAACAGTGACAGTTGTGGTGGTTTCTTAACAGCTGCAGTAGCAGATATGTATTGTTGTGTGACTCCCTCTGTCCCGTAACCTTACCATGCAAACACATGATGTCATACATCATCCATCAATCTTCGGCTTTTGATCCTATGCACGCCGGAGCAAGTTCTTGTTTGCATGTTTATCCTGCACTGCACATTGTTTTCCCAACTTTAATTACTATAATATATTTGAGACTGAAAAAATCTATCTCTAAATACAAGAGGAAGTGGAAGAACACTGCAGATGCTGGGTACACTGAAGGCAGGGTGACTCCCATCTGTCAGCCATGCCTGGCCCCTACCCCCATCCATCCAACTACAGACGTTTGGTCACACCCCCGCTGACCCACAGAATACGACCTCTTTTGTCCGAACTGGCTTGACTGCTGCATAAACGTTCAAGCAACCTGAAATAAATTGGTGGAATTCACAGGACTAGTGCCTGATGGTGAAAACGGTCACGATATTTGAAACTTAACATTCTGCCCAAATTCTGCAGCGTCGACGCCCTCAGATAATGTTGATTGATGTGATGCATTGTTCCGCACATCTGCATGTGCTCAAGGTAGGCTGGCAGACGTTGGTGTAATCTGGGACATGAGGCGCCCAACTGCGCTTTGCTACACAGAGCTGTAGTTATGTTTTTGTGGAGGTGCCAGGCAGGCCCAGGATTACACACACAACACAAACACACCTGCACACTTCAGAGGAACTGGGCATTTAGTTTTGACATCACTGAGC